CCACCACCGTCCCTACTGTCCCCACCAGTGCCCCCACCACCGTCGCACTGTCCCCACTGTTCCCACCACTATTCCCACCACGGTTCCACTCTCCCCACTTTCTCCACGGCCCCAACCAGTGCCCGACTATCCCCACTGTCCCCACTGTCCCACTGACTCCTCCGCTGTCCGCTGTCCCACTGTTCCCACCAATGTCCCCACCACTGTCCCCACTGTACCTCTGTCCCATTGTCCCACCGCCGTCCTCGCCACCGCCTTCACCACTGTCCCCACCACCACTGTTCCCTCCACTGTCCCAATGTTTCCACCACATTCCCACTGTCCCCACACCACTGTCCCCACCACCGCCGTCCCCAGCACTGTCCCACTGTCCCCACAGTTCCCACCATTGTCCTCACCACTGTCCCCACCACCACCGTCCCCACCAGTGTCCCACTGTCCCCACCACTGTCCCGCTGTCCCCTCCTCGGCGGATCCAGGCCATTTGCGAGTGGTTACTCTGCGAGTCGTGGAGCGCGCTCGTCTGCATGCGTTCCAGCGCGGGCCTTTGGACTTCTGCAGCCAGGGCGCTGACGTGAGGACCACGCGCTCGGCTCAGGAGGCTCGCGTTCGGCTGCGAGGCCGCGTCGGCGGGGGGGGTGGAGGGACGGAGGGGCGACGAGCCTCGCTCCTCCTGGCTCTTCCTCGCTCCTCGCTCCTCGCTCCTCCACGCTCCTCGCTCCTCCTCGCTCCTCGCTCCTCGCTTCTCGCTTCTCCTCCTCGCTCCTCGCTCCTCGCTCCTCGCTCCTCCTCCTTGGGGTCTTGCGCACCTCAATCCCCAAGTGGTCCCTCCCCTCCTCCTCCTCCTCCGCCCTCTGGGGTTCCCGGGGCTCTGGATTCTGTCTCGGTGGCCTCGCCTCGTTTCCTGGCGAGGGCCCCCCTGGGGGCCTGTGGCTTTCGGGGTGTGCTCCTCTGGGGTTCCTGGGGCTTTCTGTTTTGTTGCGGTGGCCTCGCCTCGTTCCCTGGCTTGGGGCCCCCTCTGGGGGCCGGTGGAGTTCGGGGTGGGCGAGGGGGCTCTTTCTCCCCCCCTGTCTCTCCCCGCAGGCCGGGCCGCGTCCCGATGCCGAGCCGGGGTGGTGGCGGGGGGCACCCACTCGGGAAGGGCTCTTCCAGTCATCTCTCATCGCCTCGCAGCTGCGCCCTGCGGTGGCATCCGTGATGTGCTAGGACGGGCGAGGCCCCAGCGGAGGTGAGCGGGAGCTCTCGCGCTGTCCATCCCCACTCTGCGGCACAGGTTCCGCCCGGCACGGGTGGCCACCAGGGCTGCCCTGGATGGATCCCCCTGTTCCCCTCCTCCTGGGTCGGGACCCCAGCTGTAGCGCCCTCCTGTTCTGGGATATCCCGCTCCCAGGTATTTGGGGGCTGGTATTGCTGGGCCTTCCTGTGGTTGAGGTGGGGCGGGGAGGGTGCCCCAGGGGAGGTACCCCTGGGAGTCTCTCGGACCAAGTGGCGCCGTGGCGTTGCGGTACTAGACCCCCGCGACAGGTGGCGAGCTGTCCCCCAGCCATCCCTGAGTGGGAGGTGCCGCTAAAGAGGCAGTGCCCGCGGCCTCACCAGATTGCTTACCCAAGCCACCACCACCACCACCACCACTGTCCCCACCACCACACCGTCCCCACCACTGTCCCACTGTCCCCACCACTGTCCCGCTGTCCCCTCACCACTGTCCTCACCACCACCGTCCCCACCACCACTGTCCGCAATCCCTTCGGTTTTCGAGGGGGCGGGGGTTCGAGCCGGTAGTGACCCCCCCCCACGGTTTTCGCCTCGGTTTTCGAGGGGGGGGGTTCGAACCGGTAGTGATCCCCCCCTCCCCTTTTCATGATGGACTGGGGGGGGGGGAGGGGTTCGAACTGGTAGTGCCCCCCCCCCCCGGTTTTCCGGAAGGGGGGGGGGGTCGAACCGGTAGTGACCCCCCCCGGTTTTCCGCCAGCAGCGGTAGAACACGCTCTTTCGAATATCAATTTCCCCCCCTCTTCATATCCTCGCAAGTTTTGCGGGCATCAATCCAGAGCAGACCCCCTGGCCGCCTCGTGGCCAGCGTCGCCAGCGCAAGTCGCCACGGCCTGCCTTTTTGCCGTCGCGGGCGTCACTGGGCCCTCTCCTGGCACACGAATTGTTTTCGTCGGCGGCTAGGCAGAATCACTGCGCTGGCGAGGGAGCGAAACGGGGCTGCCGCTAAGCGAATTGTGCCACCATGCAAGAGGGGTGAGAAGACGACGAAGCGATCGCCGAGAGGAGGAGGAAGCGGGCGCGGGCCGCTCAGGGGAACGGGTCGTTCCCAAGGGGCGCAATGGGTCCCTGACGCACGAGGAAGCCCAAAGTACCTGGGGTGGAGAATCCGCCCCCAGGCATGTGGCCGAGAGCTCCAGGGGCCGACGTCGCGAAAAAATGTGAAGTTAGAGGTCTGGCAATGGGGCCAAGGTGTGCGGGGTCGGAGGATCTCTCCAAATCGCCGATGCATCAGCGGTGCGTCGGAGACGCCGGGATGGATTCCTGATCGAGCTGGGTCGCCAGTGCATCCGCGATTCGGCGCGATCCTCAGACCCCGCCTGCTTCTTGTCCCTCTTGAGCTGCCTCCGTTGTCGTGCGGTGATCCAGCCAGTTCTAGGAAAAGAGCATCACCGTTCATCGAAGAAAACAAGGCGGCTTGGCTTTGCACTTCCCGAGGTCCATGCGGACCTTCGCAATATGTTGGGTCATGTCGCTCTTTGTTTCCCACATAGGCCGTGCCTCAGAGATTTTAATTTGCTCGTGCGAGAAGCCGGTGGGTGCGGGGCCCTTCGTCAGAGGCGGCCCTCGGTTTTGCCCGGGGATCTTCGGGGGTCCTGGGAGTGTCTCTGCCCCTGCGTTGCTCGAGTTTCTTTTGGGTTTCTCAGGGATCGTTGGCGTTGCTGGTGGCTACGCCAAACAATTCCAAGCAACGCCAAGAGGCAATGGCAAGCAACGCCAACAGCAACGACCAGCGCCGAGCAACGTTTCACATTGCAGTGCTTTGCTCAGAACTGGTTTCCAATGCTCTGGAAGGGCACCCCTAGTTGGTTCCCTCCTGAGTTCATTCTACCAGGAATGTGATTCCTGATTTTGGACAGGCGCAGCCTCCTTCGCACGACTCCCTGGTAGAGCTTCGAGCGCCAGCGCCGCGCGTCAAGTTTGCTCGGCCCGGGCGCATATCATCTTTCTGCTGCCCCGCGGCCGCCCTCTTTTTTGTCCTCCCGTGCGGCGCAGAGTCTGCCAGTCCGCGATCCGCTCTTGGCCCGAACCGAACGGGGCGTGCCCCACACCGCTGTGAATAGGAACGTCCGCTAGGTTCTATCTTGCCGGCTGCGCCGGCGCCGGGCGCCGTCGCGGGGGCTTGCTGGAGCTAGCCTGCCTTGTTCTGTTTTTCGTGGAGGTGGTCAGTCGGCGCGGAGGGCGAAGTGCGAGCCCTCCCCCCCCGCCTCACCAGGGATCAGGAGAGGAGCAGGTCACCATCCTTCAACACACTTCAGTCCAATCCGAAGGCCTCCATTTGCCCTCCATTCCCAGAGGGGGGGGGGGCGTCGGGGAACATTGAAAAAAACACATGCGGAACCCGTGCCCCCCCAACCCGAAGATTGGGTCAGCGGGTTGGCTTTGGGTTGCCTGGTAGTGAGGAGGGGGAGTGGGAAGAGGAGGAGGAGGAGGAGAAGGAGGAGGAGGAGGATGAGGAGGAGGAGCATGAGGAGGAGGAGGAGGAGGAGGGGTAGGAGGAGGAGCAGGAGGAGGAGGAGGGGTAGGACGAGGAGGATGATGATGATGAGGAGGAGGAGGAGGAGGAGGAGGAGGAGGAGGGGGAGGAGGCGGAAAAGGACGTGCTGGATGGGGGCCGTGCCATCAGCTGCCTGAAAGGGGGAGGGTGCCCCGACCCCTCGCTTCCGGCGGAGAGAAGCGCCTGCGTGAGGGCCCGCGGGGAGCCGGCGGGGCGCGGGGCCCGGGCGGCGCCGCGCGGGCGGACGTTTTCTCCGTCGGCGGGCGGAGCTCATCGGGTGATGCCGATGGGGGTCGCCGCAAGGGGGGGCCCATTTCCTCTTCGCAGGAATCGAAGATCGGGGAGGAGGGAGGGTTTCGGCAGCACGCAGGGGTAGCCTAGCCCTTCGCCAGACGGGCTCTTTGGTGCGGGTCCGCGGGGGTCTCCGCAGCAGTGGCCTGCGCGCCAGGATCTGACCCCCTCGTGGCCCCCAGAAGCTGCGCACCAAAGGTTCCCCCCTGCCAAGCGTCGAGGAGCGAGGATCGGGTATGGGGCGTTTCTCCGCGTGTGTGAGGGTCTCGGGGCGCTCTGGGTGGGTCTGTGTGGGGGCCCGTTTCCTCTTGGAGTTGGCGGCCCCGTAGTGGCGATTCTCATTGGCATTGCCTGGCGAAGCCGGTGGCGCGAAGGGGGCGGCCCTTGACGCAATGAGGCGTTGGGCTTCCGGCGTTGGGCTTCCTGAAGGTTCCCCCGCCTTCCAAGGAGGTCAGAAGCCTCTTGTCGGGGGCGGGCTATCCACAGCCTCGTGGTCTGGATTCTTTGGCCGCGACCCCTGTGGAATCAGCACAGGCGTTCGGGATTGGACGCCGCCAATGGCCAGGAATCCGTCGACATCGAAACCGCGATCATTCAAGGTTGCACGATCCAGGCGGTGCCAGGAACCAACGCCTACGTCGTCGCGACACGAAAATGCCGTAGGCACCCTCTGGAGCAGAGGGTGGTCTCGGTCTTAACATTCGACGACTGTTCGCGGCTTGTCACATTGCATCGCGTATATCGTGAAATTTTTCTCGGCTTCTGAGGCGTACCATGATGATGCCCATTGGCCATAATGTGGGTTTGCATGCGTTCTGTGCGTCGTGCGCACGGCACTTCCTCTGTAGCCATCCAGCTTCTCTCAAAGCAACTCGGCCTGCTCGAGGCCCCTCCTCATTCGCGGTGAGCCCCGGATCTGGCGGCTTAGGAGGAAACGACCATGCCTGGTCAGTCTGCATGGGTGCTGGCGCTGGCCTTCGCCTCGACCTTCTGGGGCATCGCGCAGGCCGAGACTCTCCACGGCTCCGACGACGGCGTGGGTGACAGCGTCGAGCTCGTCGCCGACGGCGCGCACGACTTGGACGACGCGCACGAGGGCCTCGAGCAGATCGATGGCATCGAGCACGGAGCGCTCGATGCCGAGCAGATCGAGGGCATCGAGCAGGAGGGCGGCGAGCACCAGTCGCTGAGCGCCGAGCAGATGCTCGGCCTCCACAAGAAGATGGACGCGAACGGCGACGGAAAGGTTTCCATGGCGGAGCTCCTGGCCTTCTCGGACAGCACGCGGAGGCAGATCTTGGAGAGGGAGGTGCAGGCCGTCCTGGCGGAGATGGACCTCGACGGGGATGGGAAGCTGAGCGTCCAGGAGCTCGTCAAGGACTGGCCCTCGGCGGAAATGGGGGGGACGGGGAATGGGGCAACTTGATCGGATGTGGTCGACATGTTCAGCTGCTTGCGGCAAGCCCACCCACAACGTGCCCGCGCAGCGCAGGTTGGTCTGGCCGGGCTCTCCCGAACAGGTGCTCGGTAGGAACACCGAGAGGCCGTCGTGAAATGCAGCGCTACGATGCCGTGGCGTGGCGTGGCCGAACATGTTGCATGGTTGTCGCGTTGCCTCGTGGGGGGCGTCTTGGAGGCTCATTGGGATTTCTTCGGGGGCTCATCGGATGCTTCTGGAGGAGAGCCTCGTTGGAGGTGGTTCTTCCGATCTTTCCCGGATATACTCACTAAGAGCCATCTGGTGGCCGCCTGGCCGGGTCTTTTTTTTGTGCTTCCCTGGGGCCAGCTTGGGGCCCTCCTTGGTGCTCCATGGGCCGTCTTGGGATTCGCTGGGGCCTTTGCGAAACCATCCTCTGGGGCGTCTCCTGGGTCTTCCCGGGCTGGGCTGGGGGAGCCTCTTGCAGCTGTGCTGAGGCGGTCTTGGGCCTTCCTTGGGGTGTCTTGCGTCTGCGAAGAGCGCCAAGGGGCCAGACGTGGCTTTTCTGCACAGGTGTGCGGCGAGGGAGGGCGCCCCAGGGAGTTGGCAATCACCCTGCACGCTTCGCCGTGGACACGGCGACGGATACGTAGCTCCCTTCGCGCACGCGGTATCAGGTTAGCGACATTGCGGGACCATTCGAAGTGCATGTTTTCCGCAGCCCGTTTGTCCCCTCGGGTTCGCTGCCCTCATCCGGCGTCCACCCTGGAAGGATCTGGATTCGTGGGGAGGCGAAGACGTCAGGGAGGACGAGCACGAGGCCGCCGCGATGAAGGAGTTGGAGATCGCGAAGTTTGGTGCCGCTGACACGAGCAAGGACGGGCTCCTGGACATCCACGAGCTGCCCGCCATTTTCTACCCAGAGACTCACGAGGTCCAGACCCGGCATTCATCCATGTGTCCACCGATTTAGATGAGCCCCCCCGAGGGTCTCTCGGAGTGTTGATGGTTACGTTCCTGTCCCCTTAGGGCGGAACTGTGCGCATCCAGCTATTCTGTATAGGTCTGTGTATGTCTGCACATGTATGCGCGAATGGTTGAACATGCATGTATGCATATATGCATACATGTATAGATATATACATATCAATGTTCGCATGTATGTATGCATACATGCGTATCGGCGTATGTGGGTAAGCATTTCTGTAGGTGTTTATGCATGTATGTATGCATACATGTATATTTGTATGCATGAATGTATGCGTGTACGCCTGTATGCATGAATGTATGTATGCATGCATGTATGCATGTATGTATGTATGAGTGTATGTGCGTACGTATGTATGTATGCATGTACATATGTGGGTAGGTGTGTACATCTCCATGTATGCATGCATGCATGTGTGTATACACACCTTCATACACATGTATCTGCATATACGTATGCATGCACACATTTGTATATGTATATATATACATGTATGTATATATACATATACATGCACATACACATATACATAAACACATGTTGTACACATCTACCTGAACAGGCCCTCGGGGGGGAGGGCGGACCTGTGACACCGCGTGGCATGGGGGGCCAAACAGGCCTCGACCGGCCAAAAGGGCCTGCTAGGGGGCCATGAGGGCACCAAAAAGGGCCCTCAAGAGACCAAGAGAGCATCCAAACGCCCCCAGCGCGCCGACCATTGCTGCGGGACGGTGCCACTGTGCGAACCTTGTCTCTGGGGACGTACATAGGTCGAGATCCCTGTGTGGCGCGATGCCTTTGAGTGGTGTGCCGGCATGGGCGGGGGGACGCTAGGCAAAGCCTGTATCTGGTGCCGACGGTATCAGGCAGTGGCGAAGCGTCCTGGCACGCTTATAGGTCCACCAAAGAGTGTTCTAATAACCTTTTGTGGTCTGCACGAAATGTTCTTAGAACATTGTTGGCCGAGACTGTCTTGTTTTGACACATCGGGCCTATGTTCTAATATCATGAGATCCTTGTATTGTTCTCAGAACATTCTCGGGTTCTAAGAACATATCGCGGTCGGCCTATAGGAATGGCGGGACGGTTGGTCCCTGCTTAACGGTCGACTTCCTTGAGGGGCATGATCCATGTGGCATTACATGTTCTCCAGCGCCGAACACTTACATACAATCTGCTTTTGCTAAAACCTAAGCGCGCGAAGCGCGCACGTGGTTGTGATACAACTTGTGTATACATGGTCGTGTGTATGCATGTATATATATACATATATATGTATATATAGTATCCATCTATGCATGTGAGGCTGATGAAAAGTATTTTGCTCCGCGAGATCCTCGGCGGGACGCCTCCCGATCGGTGGATCTGGATATATCCTGGGCGTTGGCGAGGGCGTCCTGGACCTCACCGCCAGACAGACTCTGCGGGAGAAAGACGGGAACGGCGACGGCCTTCTCAGTCTGCAGGAATTCTGGCGCGGCGCCCCCTCGGATGACGCGCTGGACCAGGAGGGGGAGGAATTGATCGTCACCGATGATGAGCAGGATCCTGGGACCACGATCTGCACCATGAGTGCCTGATTGCCCTCTTCTCCCTGCCTGGGAAGACGAGGAGAGGAGTTGGGGGGAGGGGCAGGGGGGGGAGGGAGACTGCGGTGGTGGTGTATAGCCTCGGGCCGCGTTCAGGAGGAGTTCCGAAAGATGGACGCTGACCACAGCGGCAAGCTGGACCTGCAGGAGCTGAAGGCGTTCGAGTCCGGCAGGCTCCACACCGAGGAGGCCATGAAGTCGTTGTTCGAGCTCGCCGACAAGGACAAAGACATGCACGTGACCGCGGAGGAGCTCGGGGCTGCGCGGGAGCAGATCGCTGGCAGCGAGGCCCACTACCCCTTCGCGGAATGGGCGGACCACTTCGTCGACGACCTCTGAGCGCCTCTTTCCTCCCCCTAGAGACCAAACTGGAGCCGACTTCGATAATTATTGCAATCAAGTTGGCACACCACTAGGGCTGGCCCCCCCAGGTCGCTGGAATCATTCCGGAAAGTGCTGATTCCGTCCATGCAGTGCATCCTCTTTCTAGGCTTAGTAGGCCCCCGTCTGTAGGTTCATATGGTACACGGCAGGTCCCCGGTAGCTTTCAGGTTTAGGCACGCCACCAATGTTAGGCTATGTTCGCACAGTGACAGAAAGCAAGGCGTCGCAGTTCGAGATCAGTGTGTGTGTATGTGCGTGAAGTGCCGATCCTGAGTGCATGTGACGTCTGACGAGAATGTACCCCTTCGTGCGCGACGCTTCCACGCAGGCTCAGTCAGTTCGGCAGAGCGCGCGCCGTAAGGCGACTGCGCCCACCCCTTTATGCCTCCCGTCGAACCCTTACCAACAAGTACGGCGACCAGGGTGCTTCGGAGAGGCGAAGATCGCTGGGAAGCTCCGTGTTTGGGCAGATTAGAGATCTGGTGAGCGACGGGAGTGGTCTCCCTTCTCCTGCTTGGTTTCCTAATTTTTTCTTTCTTCTCCTGCTCCTCCTCCTCCTCCTCTTCCTCCTCCCCCTCGGGCACTTATTCTGTAGTTAGCGACTCTCAAAGCAACTCGGCCTTCTCTTGGCCCCTCTTCGTTCGCGGCGAGCTCCAGATTAGGCGACTTGGGAGGAACCGATCATGTCTGGTCAGCGTGCATGGGTGCTGGCGCTGGCAATCGCCTCGGCCGTCTGGGGAATCGCGCATGCTGAGACGCTTCACGACTTTGATGACGATGTGGACGACAGCGTCGAGCTCGTCGACGGCGACATGCACGACATGGACGACGTGCACGAGGGTGACGATCAGATCGATGGCATCGAGCAGGAGGGCGGTGAGCAGTCGCTGAGCGCCGATCAGATGCACGGCCTCCACAAAAAGATAGACGCGAATGGCGACGGAAAGGTTTCCATGGCGGAGCTCTTGGCTTTCTCGGACAGCACGCGGAGGCAGATCTTGGAGACGGAGGTGCAGGCCGTTCTGGAGGAGATGGATCTCGACAAGGACGGAAAGCTGAGCGTCCAAGAGCTCGTCAAGGACTGGCCCGCGCAAGACTGATGCAACCTTTTTGGAGCCTATCTGGGAAGCAGCCACCAGTCATTTTGCGTGGCCGTCGCGATGCCTCTTGGGGGGCGTTTCGGGGCGCTCTTGGGTCTCTTGGTATCTTTTGAGGGGGCGGGAGGGAGCTCTCGGTCGGCCCGAGGAGGGTCCCAGGGATGTTTTTCGGCATAATGGTCCTATTGAGCTTTCCCGAAGGGTGTGTGGACACGTCTTGGGACGGTCTGGTCGGGCCGTGGGGCAGTCTCAGAGCCGCCTTGGGGCCGTCTCGGGGCTGTGTGAGACCGTCTCGGGGCTTTCTGAGGCCTCCCCGAAGCCGATTGTCGGGGGGTCTTGGTGTCGTCCACAGCTGGACTTCGTGCAGACTGCATCTATCTTGGGGCGGTCTTCGGCCGTGTTTGGGGATTCTCCGCTCCTGCGAAGAGCGCCGAGGAGCCACACATGGGGGGATGCGCTTTGCTTCGCAGGTGTGCGGCGAAGGGGGTGGGGCTCCCCGAAAGGGACAGCAACCCTACATGCAGTCTGGTACTCCTCAACGTGCCTCAGGCACGGCGACGGTACGTACATACAGCCCAGCATATGATTAAACAACCTCCTCCCAAAAAGCTGGGCCTGCGTCTCGTAGCCAACTTGCCAGAAAGCTGGCCCAGTTTCTTGAGCACGCTCGACTCCTCCAGCATTGACATCAGATATTGGTCCAGGTTTGGTTTGATACATTTCCGGGAAGCTGACCCAGGTGTCTTGATTGATCATTTTTTTGATCACGGGTCGGGCGCACGGGGGCGAGTTAGTGGCCTTGTAGGCAAATTCGAAGTGATTTTTGTTCGCAGCTTGCTTGTCCCGTGCAACTTCCTCCCAATAGAGGACCTGCATTCGTGGGGAGGCGAAGACGTCAAGCAGGATGAGCACGAGGCCGCCACGATGAAGGAGGTGGAGATCGCGAAGTTTGGCGCAGCTGACACGAACAAGGACGGGCTGCTGGACATCCACGAGCTGCCCGCCATGTTCTATCCAGAGATCAACGAGGGCGTTCTGGATCTCACCGCTAAGCAGACGCTGCGGCAGAAGGACGGAGACGGCGACGGCCTGCTCAGTCTGCAGGAGTTCTGGCGTGACGGCGCCCCCTCGGATGACGCCCTGAGTGAGGAGGGACAGGAGCCTCTCATCATGGATGGTGAGCAGGACACCGGGCCATGTTGTGCACCATCAGTGCCTCCCTCCCCTCTCCTCCCTGCCAGGGAAAAGAGGAGACGAGTCGGGGTGAGGGGAAGGGGGGGAGGGAGACGGCGGTGGTGTGTACTTGGCCTCGGGCCGCGTTCAGGAGGAGTTCCGAAAGATGGACGCTGACCACAGCGGCAAGCTGGACCTGCAGGAGCTGAAGGCGTTCGAGTCCGGCAGGCTCCACACCGAGGAGGCCATGAAGTCGTTGTTCGAGCTCGCCGACAAGGACAAAGACATGCACGTGACCGCGGAGGAGCTCGGGGCCGCGCGGAAGCAGCTTGCTGGCAGCGAGGCCTACTACCCCTTCGTAGAGTGGGCGGACCACTTCGTCGACGAACTCTGAGCCCCTGGGCGGAGATGCCGCCAGAGTGTATATCGCACACGATCGCGCACATCTGCATACTCATCCTGCGGCAAGTCCCGCCGCCGTGCCAGCGCAGCAGCGCAGGGTTGCGGACACTGACTGTAGACCCACGGTTCGTTCAGCGCGCGGTCTGAGTTCGCGTGGGTCTGACATGCAGCCTCGTTCTCTCGGTCCTGGGGCTGTCTTGGAGCCCTCTTCGGCCATCTAGAAGCCTCTCGGGAAGTCTTGGGGCCATCTGTGTGCTCTCTTGGGGCAATTCCAGGCTGCCTTGGGAGCTCCTTGGGGCACTCTGAAGCTTTCCCGAGGCGATAAAGGCCGGGGGTCGAAGTACATTGAATTCTTTACGCTTCGCGTATCCCCACCAGCCCATCTCACAGCAGCAACTCTCGCGAAGCATGCCGACAGTCGTGTTTTTCAGGCGTGTGTCCGCTTGGCCCCGCATATCTCCCCTGTTCCTCCTTCCTCCCGCCTCCTTGTACATCTTCCTTGTGGGGGAGCGGGAGAAGGACGAGGCGGAGGAGGAGGGAGAGAAAGCGCTCCTCGTGATTTGAGTCGTTTGGGGTTTCTCGTCCTGGTGTGAGTCGTTCGGGCCCTTCTTCCTGGTGTGAGTCGTTCGGGCTCTTCGTGGTGTGAGTCGTTCGGGCTCTTCGTCCTGGTGTGAGTCGTTCGGGCTTCTCGTGGTGTGAGTTGTTCGGGCCCCTCATCCTGGTGTGAGTCGTTCGGGCCCCTCCTCCTGGTGTGACTCGTTCGGGCTCCTCGTGGTGTGAGTCGTTCGGGGCCCGCGTCGTGGTGTGAGTCCTTCGGGCTCCTCGTGGTGTGAGTCGTTCGGGCGCCTCGTCCTGGTGTGAGTCGTTCGGGCCCCTCCTTGTGGTGTGAGTCGTTCGGGCTCTTCGTGGTGTGAGTCGTTCGGGCCCCTCGTCCTGATGTGAGTCGTTCGGGCTCCTCGTGGGGCCTCTTGGGGGCCTCTTGGAGCCTCGTGGGGCCTCTTGGGGGCCTCTTGGGGGCCTCTTGGGGGCCTCTTGGGGGCCTCTTGGGGCCTCGTGGGGCCTCTTGGGGGCCTCTTGGGGGCCTCTTGGGGGCCTCTTGGGGCCTCGTGGGGCCTCTTGGGGGCCTCTTGGGGGCCTCTGGGGGGCCTCTGGGGGGCCTCTTGGGGGCTTCTGGGGGGCCTCTTGGAGGCCTCTTGGGAGCCTCCTGGGGGCCTCTTGGGGCCATCTTGGGGCCTCTTGCGACCTCCGCAGAAGCGCAAAGGAGAGCTGCCCCCTGAGAAGGACAAAATGAGCCCAACACCTTCGTAACATCAATGATTTTGCTATGAGGGAAGATGAGCGCGGCCCCCTCAGAAGGCCAACATGGGGCCAAAACCTTTTCGTAAAATCAATGATTTCTGCTTCAAAGACGAGCAGAGGGGCCAACCTGCCTCCCCCCCTCGGGGCCAGAATCCTTGTGAGGGTCGTCGTTTTTTGGCCCTCCCAGGAGTCGAAAAAGACCCCCTTGATCCCACTCGGCCCGCCCTCTCCAGGTCCAGGGGAGGGGGTAGGGGGAGGGGTAAACCCCTCCCCGAAGGGGAAGATAGGGGGTTAGGGGGTTGAGAACAGAGAGAGCTCCCTAAACCACTCACGCCCAAAGGGCTGGTGGGATTCAGGTAAGTTGTTCAATGGCTTTCGCATCTTTGGGCCTAGCTGGAGGTCTCTTGGAGCGTCTATTACGAGCCTTTCGGGGCCGTCTTCGCGCATCTAGGAGAGATCTTGAGATTTTGAGCCGTCTTCGGGCATGTTAGCTAGTTGAGCCGTCTTTAGACGATCTTTGAGGCTGTTTGGGCCCTCGTTGGGCGTCTTGGAGACATCCTGGAGTGGCCTTTTGGCAGTCTTTGGATCATATATTGGTTGCTGCCGTTTTGGCTGCTTGGTAGTTGCCTTGGGCCGTTCCAGGAACCAAAGCAACCGCCAGAGGGCAGATGCCGAAGGGGGCGATGTTCTGACGGTGCGTAGTACAATCGATCCGCATAGTCGGGATGAGCGATTTTCCAAGGCCAGTTTTCCATCCTTCCCCTTCGCTACAACTTAGCGACTCGTTCGAAACACGTCAACATGGCCATCCAAGGCCCTTGCATCCTTACCGCACATTCTTATTCTACGGGTTGACCGTACGAGGGAGGCGGTCGGCCATGCAAGCACTACAGACACCTCTCCAGATAGCAGAAGAACATGACTGAAAGATCGCTAGCGAGAGAAGTTCTGCACGGGGCTTCAGCCCCCAAGGGGGGGGTCTCTGGGGGGGCAGAGCGACATTTGACGGAAAGAGCGCTAGCGAGAGAAGTTCTGGACAGGGCATTAGCCCCAATGGGGGGTGTCGGGGGGGTGGGACCGCGCAGATTGTTCTAACACGCCTTCCGGGGGCCATGCTGGCGGCTTTTTCGGCCCAGGACCGTCCAAGAGACACCCAAGACACCCAAGAGGCTCCCAAGACGGCTTAAGATATATCCAAGACGGTCCAAGAGACGCCCCAGAGGCCCCAAGACGACCCAAGAGCGCTCCAGGAGGGGCGACGGTGGCCCCGAGACAGCCTCAGAAGCCCCCCAGACGCCCCAAGAGGCCCCCACGAGGGCCTCCAAGAGGGACCAAAGAGGCAAACACAATCGATTTCCCTTAGGCTTTTGACGGTTTGGGGGGTTCTCGCTTTGGGGCCCAAAAACCGCCAAAGACGCCCTTTGGGGCCTCCGAGGTCGCCCCAACACGTCCCCAGAGGCTCCCCAGAGGGCTTGAGACAATCCCAAGAGAGCTTCAAGACGGGCCACGACAGCTCCAAGACGGGCCAAGGATGGCCCCACGGAGGCCCAAGAGGCTCCCAGGAGAGCTTCAATGGGGCCACAGGAGGCTTCCAAGAGGGCCCCGTGGGCGCCCCAAGCTGGCCCAAGCCCCCCAAGACGGCCCAAGAGCGCCACAGTACGGCCCAGGAGGGCCCCTGGACGGCGCGTGAACAGCCGTCGAACCCCTGAGACCATGTGACGCTTCCGCTCTACAGAACCGCTCTTTCCGTTCCCGTGCCGGCCCAGGTCTAACACGCCCTCTTGGGGTCATGTTGGCGGCGTTTTCGGCCTTGGAGGCCTCGAGACGGCCCAAATGGCCTCCAAGACGGCCGAAGAAGCCCCCAATACGGCCTCAGAGAGACCTTAGAGGACCCGAAGACGGTCCAAGAGCGCTCCAAGAGGGCTCCTGATGGCCTCGTCACAGCCAAGAAGGTCCCCTAAGAAGCCCCAGAAGGTCCCCAAGACAGAGAACTCACGAGGCCCGGAGGAGGAAAACAACATCAGATGTTGTTTCAGATGTTCGGGTTTCCTCTTTTTGGAGGAGGCCCAAGTGCCGATGGATTATGGGGCGTGCTGCTTCAGTCACGAGGTAACGCGAGCTTTGCGAGCTTTGCGAGCTGGCGCGTGGCCCTACTTGGACAGGTCATGTCGATCCGTTCTTCGGCCGCACTCCTGGCAGGACACTGGGAAGACAGTCGTGCTCGATATTGAGAAGAATGCCTCTGCCAGTTGTGCATCATGATTCACACTACCGTTCTCAATATCACGCCCACCCCGTTTAGTTTGCGGTTTGGTTGACATAGCACACATTGGCGACGGTTCTGGATTTGGAGAATTTGGATAATGCTCTGTTCTTAGGTCTGCTGGGCGTCCGAGACCGCCCAGGAGGTCAGAACATCGCCCCCAAACTACCCAAAAGGTTTTCCAGGCAGTCCAAGAAAGCCCCAAGACGGCCCAACAGGGCTCCAAGATGGCCCGAAGAGAGCCCCATGACGGCCCAAGATGGCTCCAAGAGGCCCCCCGAAGCATTCCAAATCGTGACACGGTCGTTCAGGGAGACCGCCGTTGGAAGCAGGGTGGTTCGAGGAAGCCCCGGGAGCTCCCGAAGGAACTTTGAAGGCCTTCAGAAGGCCCCAAGTAGCCCGTAGATATTTTCGTGAGGCCTTCAGAAGCTCTCCAAGGAGGAGCCCCCGAAAACAAGCTAAGAAGGATGGGGACACATTCGCAAGGTAGGGCGACAGTGAGGAAGAAGGAGAGGAAGCATGCGGAAATGCTACCAGGATGACGAATAACAGCATTAAAACAATGGCGTCGGAAAAGGCATCAAATTCCTGCCTTTCCGCCTGAGTGTCAAGCATGAAGGACCAAGGTGCATGGCGCGAAGCGCCAATGCAGCCTTGTATATATGTGCATACATAGATATGCAAATGTATGTATGTATGTATGTATGTATGTATGGATGGATGTATGTATGTATGTATGTATGCATGCATGTATGCATGCATGCGTGCATGCGTGCATGCGTGCATGTATGTATGTGTGTGTATGTATGTATGTATGCATGTGTGTGTGTATTTATGTATGTATGCATATATGTATGTATGTGTGTGCATGTATGTATGTATGTATGTATGTATGTATGTATGTATGTATGTATGTATGTATGTATGTATGTATGTATGTATGTATGTGTACGTACGTACGTATGTACGTACGTACGTACGTACGTATGTATGTATGTATGTATGTATGCATGTATGCATGTATGTATCTATGTATGTATCTATGTAATGTATGTGTGTATGTATGTATGTATGTATGTATGTATGTATGACTGTATGTGTGTATGTAAGTATGTATGTATGTATGTATGTATGTATGTATGTATGTATGTATGTATGCATGCATGTATGTATGTATGTATGTATGTATGTATGTATGTGTGTATGTGTGTATGTGTGTATGTGTGTATGTGTGTATGTGTGTATGTATGTGTATGTATGTATGTATGTATGTATGTATGTATGCATGCATGCATGCATGCATGCATGCATGCATGCATGCATGTATGTATGTATGTATGTATGTATGTATGTATGTATGTGTGTGAGGATGGGCTTCTGGGGGCACCATGGAACACTGACTTCGAATTGCGGCGTCTTGGGTCCACTGGAGAGCTGTCGGCAGGCTTCAAAGGGGGCAAGGCGGGGCGAAAAGACGGCCCAACAAGTCCCAAGAAGCCCGAAGAAGTCCAGAAGAGATTTTCAAGGCGGCCAAGACAGGCCAAAGACGGCCGCAAGACGGCCCAGCAGGCCCCCAAGACGACCCAAGAGGACCCAAGAGGGCCCGAAGAGGACCTTGAAAAAGCCCCCCAGGCGCAAACATCACTGACCTTCATAGGTTTGCCACAGATTTTCGGGTCCTAGCTTTGTTGGACATCAGACGGCCCAAGAGGGCCCAAGATACCCCCAAGGTCGTCCCAAGACGGCCAAAGAGGCTTGAGGAAGGCTCCAAGACGACGCAGTAGGTTTTCAAGACTGCCCACGAGGTTCTTGAGACGGCCTCCGAGCCCCCCAATATAGTGCCCCACGAGGGGCCAATGAGAAGGCACTTTCCCCCGAAGATGCCCCCCAAGATCCCTAACATACCCCCATACCCACTCTGGAGGCCCACAAGACGCCTCGAGAGCCTGCCAATGGCCTCTAGAAGAACACATAAGTAGTTTTTCTCATTTTGTTTGATTCATTGTTGCGTCCTCGATCTCTCGGGTCCCCGGCAACCCAATACTGCCCAAGAGGTCCCTGAGATCGCCTCCGGACGGCCCAGAAGGCTTTGCAGTGCAGTTTTGACCAAGGATAGACTGCTCGGCCCTGGTTTTTTGTCGAGGTTCTGGGTCCAGTGACTTTCGCTGGGGCCATCGGGCAGTTCCTACGGACCCGTAGGCAGGTGTTGGTTGCATGCCGCCAGCATTCTTTTCGGACGCAGAGAACATGTATGACCAACCGCGATTCCAGATGCCAGGGTGTTCGGCCTCTTCGGGAGGTCACGGGTACGCAACGCCCGCTTCCCCGACCCCCCTACCATTTCTTCAGCCATATGGGCACAGTGGTAATTGCCAACTCTAGTCTGGATCCCAATTGTTTGACGAACACCTGCTTCGCAATGACTCGGCTCCTTCCGCCGGTGCTGCTGTTTGGCCTGACTGCAGGTGCTAGGGTCAAAATCACAGGAGAGGAGACATCCGAAACTGCTGAGTCGCAGTTGAGCAAGCTCGACACCGTGACGGAACTTCAGACCGAGGCTTTCTTGGGCCGATGGTACCAGATGTACGGCAGTATTTCCAGCACGATCTTGACGTTCGGCAACGCTGGACCCCATGACCTCTGCACCTCAACAGACTACTCTCTGAACGCCGATGGGACAACGATTGATGTACTTAACCAGGGAATCAGACTTGATGGCCGCGTCACGAAGATCTGGGGCCAGGCCAAAGCTACCGAAGCAGTAGGCCAGAAGAAGCTGAGCTTTCAGAAGTTCCTCCGGGGCAACGAAACAATTTCGCCTCCTGATTTTGAAGGTGACTATTGGGTGTACAGGCTCGGCCCCATCGTTAATGGCAAGTACGAGTGGGCGGTGGTTGGAAGTCCAGCGACGCTGAGCTGGCTGTTTGATGCAGGCCAGCTCTTTGTCTTGGCGCGCGATCCTGCAGTCTTCCTGGAGAAATACGATGACGAGGTCCACGAGTGGCTGCACGCGAACAGCTTCGACTGGTGGTGGAACAGGAAGCGTGCCACCGGCAGCGTCGGCAAGTGGCGGTGGTTCCCTTACCCGTGGTGGGGCGATGGAGACGGCAGTCGCGGTGCGTTCGGGCATGACGGGTGCGCGACCGTCCAGGAGTTGACGCCGCCGTTGGACAGTTCCGTAGACCCTCGCAAGTGACCCGCAGGCCTGAGCGGTTAGCGCGCCAGCGATTGTTCGACCCCGCCTCCATTCCCCCTCCCACCCCCCTCTTCCGCGCCCCGTCGGGCAGCGGGGAGGAGATCGGGGGGGCGGGAGGGCCAGGGGGAGAGGCGAGGAGGGCGTGGGGAGACGGAGAAGGCGAGGGAAAGGGAGGATGAGTGAAGGGGACGGCGAGTGGGAGAGGGGGGGAGCGGGGGAGGGAGGTCAGGGAGGTGGGCGATCGGGGGAGGAACCGGGGAGGGGGGGAGGGCCAGCGGGAGAGGCGTGACGCGGCGTACGGGGAGGAGGCCCAAGTGCCGATGGATGATGGGGCGTGCTGCGTCAGTCACGAGAGAACGGCCTCCGAGCCCCCCAATATAGTGCCCCACGAGGGGCCAATGAGAAGGCACTTTCCCCCGAAGATGCCCCCCAAGATCCCTAACATACCCCCATACCCACTCTGGAGGCCCACAAGACGCCTCGAGAGCCTGCCAATGGCCTCTAGAAGAACACATAAGTAGTTTTTCTCATTTTGTTTGATTCATTGTTGCGTCCTCGATCTCTCGGGTCCCCGGCAACCCAATACTGCCCAAGAGGTCCCTGAGATCGCCTCCGGACGGCCCAGAAGGCTTTGCAGTGCAGTTTTGACCAAGGATAGACTGCTCGGCCCTGGTTTTTTGTCGAGGTTCTGGGTCCAGTGACTTTCGCTGGGGCCATCGGGCAGTTCCTACGGACCCGTAGGCAGGTGTTGGTTGCATGCCGCCAGCATTCTTTTCGGACGCAGAGAACATGTATGACCAACCGCGATTCCAGATGCCAGGGTGTTCGGCCTCTTCGGGAGGTCACGGGTACGCAACGCCCGCTTCCCCGACCCCCCTACCATTTCTTCAGCCATATGGGCACAGTGGTAATTGCCAACTCTAGTCTGGATCCCAATTGTTTGACGAACACCTGCTTCGCAATGACTCGGCTCCTTCCGCCAGTGCTGCTGTTTGGCCTGACTGCAGGTGCTAGGGTCAAAATCACAGGAGAGGAGACATCCGAAACTGCTGAGTCGCAGTTGAGCAAGCTCGACACCGTGACGGAACTTCAGACCGAGGCTTTCTTGGGCCGATGGTACCAGATGTACGGCAGTATTTCCAGCACGATCTTGACGTTCGGCAACGCTGGACCCCATGACCTCTGCACCTCAACAGACTACTCTCTGAACGCCGATGGGACAACGATTGATGTACTTAACCAGGGAATCAGACTTGATGGCCGCGTCACGAAGATCTGGGGCCAGGCCAAAGCTACCGAAGCAGTAGGCCAGAAGAAGCTGAGCTTTCAGAAGTTCCTCCGGGGCAACGAAACAATTTCGCCTCCTGATTTTGAAGGTGACTATTGGGTGTACAGGCTCGGCCCCATCGTTAATGGCAAGTACGAGTGGGCGGTGGTTGGAAGTCCAGCGACGCTGAGCTGGCTGTTTGATGCAGGCCAGCTCTTTGTCTTGGCGCGCGATCCTGCAGTCTTCCTGGAGAAATACGATGACGAGGTCCACGAGTGGCTGCACGCGAACAGCTTCGACTGGTGGTGGAACAGGAAGCGTGCCACCGGCAGCGTCGGCAAGTGGCGGTGGTTCCCTTACCCGTGGTGGGGCGATGGAGACGGCAGTCGCGGTGCGTTCGGGCATGACGGGTGCGCGACCGTCCAGGAGTTGACGCCGCCGTTGGACAGTTCCGTAGACCCTCGCAAGTGACCCGCAGGCCTGAGCGGTTAGCGCGCCAGCGATTGTTCGACCCCGCCTCCATTCCCCCTCCCACCCCCCTCTTCCGCGCCCCGTCGGGCAGCGGGGAGGAGATCGGGGGGGCGGGAGGGCCAGGGGGAGAGGCGAGGAGGGCGTGGGGAGACGGAGAAGGCGAGGGAAAGGGAGGATGAGTGAAGGGGACGGCGAGTGGGAGAGGGGGGGAGCAGGGGAGGGAGGTCAGGGAGGTGGGCGATCGGGGGAGGAACCGGGGAGGGGGGGAGGGCCAGCGGGAGAGGCGTGACGCGGCGTACGGGGAGGAGGCCCAAGTGCCGATGGATGATGGGGCGTGCTGCGTCAGTCACGAGATAGTGCACAATGTGTTCTGCGCACTGCACGTCGTTCATCTTCCGTCGTCCGTCGGCATGCGCACTGCTTTTCACGCTCACCCTCGTCACCATTCCTGTGCCAGTTGTGTGACTCCATCGCTTCCTTCCGTTCCAAACCCCGGTCGAGGGGGCTGTCGGGGCACTGGACATTTCTCCTCTACGTGTTTGTTTCGGCACCCGCCAGCTTTGCGAGCTGGCGCGTGGCCTTACTTGGACAGGTCATGTCGGTCTGTTCTTCGGCCGCACTCCTGGCAGGACACTGGGAAGACAGTCGTGTTCGAGCCTGAGAAGAATGCCTCTGCCAATTGTGCATCGTGATTCATGCTACCGTTCTCAATATCACGCCCACCCCGTTTAGTTTGCGGTTTGTCTGGCAGAGCACACATCGGTGACGGTTCAAGTTTCCGACGGGATCATATTCTTTGGAGAGGTGAGTTGTTTGCTTGCGCCCGCCTGTTGCCCTCCACTTCCAGCCGCTTACCTGTATGACATACATGTTGTCTGTCCGTTGGAACCCATCGCATATTCCGTCTGATAGTCAATGCATGTTTCTCCGCACAGCCATTGGCAAAGCGATTCGGGTGCATGTTGTTTGCCATTTGGCTGACAAGCTCGAGATTGCGAAGGCCCTAAGGCCAGTGCCGCAGACCTTGAAGGGAGACGACGACGACAACGGCGGCGGCGGCGACGACGACGACGCTGACGTGGGCCAGACTCCTCAGGAATGCTTCGCAGGGTCTCTTTGGAAGGCTCTCGGGGGCCTCTAGGGAGCCTTTGGGGAGCCTCTTGGAGACCTCCTGGGGGCCTCTTCGGGCTTCCTGGGGACATGCCTCTTGTGGGCCTCTTGGGAACCTCTTGTGGCTTCCTTGGAGCCTCTCGGGGCCGAGGGCTCGAATGTCCGTTCGGATCTCCCATCTGGGCACGCTCTGGGAGCCGTCTTCGGGGCCTTTGGGGCTGTCTTGGAGGCGTTTTGGATTGTCGTGGGGTCCTCTTGGGCTTGGGCCCTCTTGGAGGATTCTTGGGTCGTCTTGGGGCGATCTTTGGGGCCTCTGGGGCCGTCTTGAGCAGGGGGGAGGGACAAATGGAGGCCTCTTGGGCAGTTTGGAGGGCGTGAGAGCCTTTTGGACCGATCGTTTGGCGATCGGGGGCCCTCTTGGACCGTCTCGGAAGTCTCTTCGGGCACTCGTGGCCTGTCTTGGTACTTTCGGAGGCCCCGTGACCCCCAGGGGGGACTGCGTATCTGACCCCTCCCACCCCCCCAAACCGCCCCCCCCCCGGGACCTCCCCCCCTGCCCCCTTCGGACCCCACTCTCCGACTGGGAGGGGATCAAAGGGAAGGGGCTTCCTTTCGACCCGATGACGACATTGTTAGATCTTTCTCTCGCTGACAGGCTTGAGGAGGAGGGTGCAGGGAAAGGAAACGACGAAACGACGACTGACGGAGACGACGACTCGAGCGGACAAGCCCCTTACACACGCCGACAGGGTCGGCGGATTTGGTGTCTGAGTTCGAGCCTCATCATACCCGTGTGTGTGTGTGTGTCTGATTTTTACGTGGCTTCGTAACCCTCAGTCCGAGGACATATGGGACATATGCATTGTGATATCAGCCATGATGTCTACCATCATAGTTCCTTCCTGGGTGTTCTTCCCTCGCCCTCTCATGTCGATCAGTAGGTGTTGCCCATTGAACCCATTGGGACCACCACCCCCACGATCCTCACCGTCGGCGCCACAATCAAGGTCTTCGCGTCGTCATCGCTGCTGTTGCTGCCGTCGCCGTCGCCGTCGCGTGCACACTTGCGTTCTGGAAAGAGCAAGAGCCGATGTGGTACCAGATAGCCGTTTTGAAGTAGCGCCCCCGTCGCACGGTGCCGCAGCGGCAGCAGCGCCTGAAGGATCGGAAGCCTCTTCGTCTTTCAGTTGGAGACCTCTCTTGCTGCCGCGCCTCCATCCCCTCCCCTCCCCCTCCCCCTCCCCCTTTGCTCCTTCTCGTCTCCCCTCCTCCCACCTCCCCCCATCGCCTCCTCCCCGTCTCCTCGTCATCTTCACCCATCCTCGGCGGAGGGCGAGGGGCATAAATGAGAAGGAGAATGCCTTCTCAGAAGGCGGCGGGACTTCTCAGAAGCCCTCGCGACTTCTGAGAAGTCTTTTGTGTCTTTCCAGATGGCCGGGGGACTCCCGAGCCTTCTGAAAATCATGTCCCCCCCGCGCTCGCCGCCAACATCCTCTTCGAACACGCCGTCCCCGTCGTCGCCGTCGTCGCCGTCGTCGTCGTCGTCGTCGTTTCTCCTCCTCCTCGTGCTCCTCCTCTCCTCCTCCTCCTCCTCCTCCTCCTCCTCCTCCTCCTCCTCCTCCTCCTCCTCCTCCTCCTCCTCCTCCTCCGCCTCCTCCTCCTCCTCCTCCTCCTCCTCCTCCTCCTCCTCCTCCTCCTCCTCCTCCTCCTCCTCCTCCTCCTCCTCGGCGGCTTCGGCGACAGTATGCCTCCTCCTCCTGCTCCTCCTGTCCCTCCTCCTCCTTCTCCCTGCTCCACCTCCTCCTCCTGCTCCCTGCTCCACCTCTTCCTTCCCCTCCTCCTTTCCCTCCTCCTCCTCCTCCTCCTCCTGCCACTTCCCCCCTTAATTTTCCCTTCTCCTCCTTGCTCCTCAAGCACCGCTTTTGAAGATGGGGAAGCCCAATGTGCCCAACTGGAATCGACAGGGGTTACGCCTAACTTCGACGGCAGCAGCAATCCACTACAGTCATGATTGCTTCTCTTCCCCCTGTCCGTTTTGTTGTTTCTTCTTATTATGTTTTTATTCGTGTTATTTTTGTCTAATGCTTCTTATCAGTATCTCTCCTCTCCCGCCTCCCCGCCCCGGTGTCCGCCAGGATAGAACGATGCAGCTCACGCGGGCGGCGCTGTGTCTCCCTGGCGTCGCCGTGGCACAGATGGCCTCCTCCTCCTCCTCCTCCTCCTCGACCTCGACTTCGCCCTCGGCGACTTCGTCGATATCGTCTTTACCATCCTCGCTCTATCCCTCTCGTCCCTCTTCTCCTTCCCGCTCCCTCCTCATACGTCCCGACCCCCTTCCTCCCCCCCTCGCCATCCTCCCCCCGTCGTTTTTCTCTCGCCTCCCAGCCCCCTCCGCCGTCATCCAATGTCCCCGCCCGCTTTCTTCCCCTCCTGTCCTCGTCGTCCCCCTCCTCCTTTTCTCCCTTTCCCCCTCTCACCTGAATTCGTGCCTCCTCTCTCCTCCCTGTTCCTCCTCCTCCCCCATCCCTCCTCCACTCAATTTCTTCTTCATCTCTTATTCTTGTCCCTCCCCCTCGTTTTTTCTCCGTTCTTCGTCAATGCTGTCCCCTCTTCTGTCCCCTCCGCGCTCTTCCCTTCTCCCACCTTCCTCTTCCCTGATCCATCCGCACCCATTCGTCCCCCAATTCGCGCCTCCCTCCCCCGACCCAGCTTCTTCGCGAATGCCCTGCCATCCTCACTCTTGCTTTTTCTCACCTTCATACCCCCTGATCCCTTTGCCCTCGTTCATCCCCCTTTTCGCGCCTCCCTCCCCCCGACCCTGCGTATCTGCGAATTTCTCTGCCACCTCTTTTTACTCAACCCGGCCTTCCCTCTCTTATCTGAGGCTGGCATGACCAAGGAGGAGCAGGGACCGCCCATCGTGATCGCGGAGACTGGCGCACCAACGATTCCTTTCTCTCTCTCTCTCTCTATATATATGTAGAGCACTGACATAGAAATAGAGATATAGAGAGAGTGAGTTAGAGACCCGGAGAGAGAGAGAGAGAGAGAGAGAGTGAGTTAGAGACCGGGAAAGAGAGAGAGAGAGAGAGAGAGAGCGAAATAGAGGGAGATGGGGCAGATACATATGTGTGTACATATATATATATATATAGAGAGAGAGAGAGAGAGAGCGAGAGCGAGAGGAAGAGGGGGAGAGAGGGAGAGAGGGAGGTATGGCGGGCGGGAGGAGGGATGGAGGGAGGAAGCGGTTATTGGGAGGAAGAGGTGGTGGAGGAGGAGGGGGTCGTTAGGAGGAGGAGGAGAAGGGGAGGGAGGGAGGGAGGGATTTGCGCTCGGCCTCCAGGGGAGGAGAACGACGTGGTACCTCCGATCAGCCCAGCCCTCCCCCCACCCCCCTGCGCTGCTGCTCTTCCTCTCCCCGCCCTGCCCTTCCCCATCTTCCTGCCGCGACCCCTCTTCCTCCTCCTTCTCCTCCTTCTCCTCCTCCTCCTCAAGCCGCTGTTCGGGCTCGAGCAGCGCCGCGCGCCGGGCCGCGCGCGGGGGTCCGATCCTGAGCGCCCTGGGGCTGGACCAGATTTGCTGCACGTCCGCTTTTTGAAGGGCGCCGTGGTGCATGCGCGTATTTGTACCTCAGGAGCTGGTGAGTCCGGAGCTCTTGCGGGAGATCACCGAGTTTGAGTTCGCCGTGGAGGTTGAGGTGGACGTCGTCGTGGTCAACAATGACTTCGCCCATGACCTTCTAGCGAGGCACGGAGTCGGTGGTGTTCAAGCGGGAGAGCGGGGACGTCGTGACGATCCCGCTGCCGCTGGCGCCCTCGCTGTGGAAGGGGCCCTTGCTGGTACCGCCTCCGCCACCGCGTTCGGGGCGCAGTTCGTCGACCCCTCGCAGGCCTACGGTGCCCAAGCTCCGCGTGAAGAGCAAGACGTTTTCCAAGAAGAAGAAGAAGAAGAAGACGAAGTACGGCAACATGCACAATAATTACAATGAGCCGAGGATGAAGGGGAATAAAAAGAAGACGGAGAGGAGGGAGACGGTCTACCCGAAGCCGCCGCTACCGACTCCGCTACCGCCCGGGGTGTTCCGCTTGGACCAGGACCCTTACTTGAGCGACCCACGGGTGAAGATGTGGTGGGCTTTGAAAGGCAGGCAGATGGTTGCCCCTCCGCTGCCAACTATTCGAGCGTGCTCGCCCGAGAGGTCCAGAAGTTCGACACTTCCAGCGACAAGGGCGCCCGCGTGAGGAAGCCCAAGCCCAAGAACCGCAATAGGAAGCATACAGATAAGAACAAGCAGGAAAGGGGGGAACGGTAGATGGAGGTGCCCGCCTCGACCGCAGCTTCATCGTCGCATGCTGTTGATCATTTGCGTCCTGTTCTACCATTTTCAGGCACGTGTCAGCTGAAGTCGGAGAGTGCGGCAGTTACTTGCACGGTTCTTTCTTCTGTTTCCGCGCATGGTGCCTCCTACACTGCTGACGAGTTGTCCTAGGCCTCTTCCGAGATGCTCGCCAAGCTGCGGTTGCTGGACCACGTGCGCCTTGATTGAGCCAGCCAGCGGGAATAAGCTTCGTATCCTCGCCTCGAACTTCATGCATGAGAGGGTCAGGAAGTCGGTCCTGGACGACTTTTTAGATTACCAGGTGAGCTTCGCAGAGCCGGGTGGGACCTACCAGGCCTCCACCACATATATCTGGGTGCACCAGGTTTTCGGCGGCTTGAGCATTGTTGGTTCAACCTGCTCCTCCTCCTCCGCCTGACCCGCTGCGCCAGCCTGCTGCCCAGCCGCCGCGACGCTTTTGCGGTCGTGCCGGTTGCCGTCTACAGCAAAACAATCCCCTTCCTCCTCCCCATCCTCCTCCTCCTCCCCCTCCTTCTCCTCCTCCTCGTCTTCCTCCTCCTCCTCCTCGTCCTCCTCCTCCTCCTTCCTCCTCGCCCTCCTCCTCCTCCTCCTTCCTTGCCCTCCTCCTCGTCCTCCTCATCCTTCTCCTCCTCCTCCTCCTCTTCTCCTCCTCCTCGTGGCTATAGTTCTAGTCCTCCTGCTCCTCCTCATCCTCTTCCTCTGCCTCCTTCTTCTCCTCATCCTCCTCTCCCTCCGCGCCCTCCTGCCATCCTCCTTATCCTCATCCTCCTCATCCTCCTCTCTCTGCTCCTCCTACACCTCCTCCTTTTCATCCTCCTTATCAACTTGCTTCCTCACTATGCTTCCTGATCCTTCTCTTCCTCCTCCTTCTCCTCATCCTCCTCTTCTTCTCAGTATCATTATCCTCCTCCTCCTCGTCCTTCTCCTCCTCCTCCTCCTCCTCCTTCACGTCCTCATACTCCTCGTCCTTTTCCTCGTCGTCCGCCTTATCGTCCTTCTTCTCCTACTCTTTCTCCTCCCCCTCCTCCTCCCCCTTCCTCCTCCGCCTCCTCCTCATCCTGCTCATCCTCCTCCCCCATCCTCCTCCACTCCGGCCGTGTGAATGTATCTCACCTTCCCTCCCGTTCTCCCCCTCCACGCCCCCATCGAGGAGTGCACCCTCAAGGGGGGCTGCGAGGCGCAGCAGAGGGCCCTGACCTTGGACGCCAACTGGCGCTGGGTGCACGGCCAGACCTGCCAGGAGTTCTGGAGAGGCAAAGCCCCCCTCCAGGAGGATGAGGAGAGATTCATGGAGTTTCAGGACGATCCAGCAGCGCTTAAGGAAGGTCGAAGGGGTTCCCCACTTCTCTTCGTCCTTTTTGCCTTAGTAATCGTTATCCTCTTCATCCCCTCCCCGTCCATCTCCTCCTTGTCGTCGTCGCCATCGTCCTCCTCCTCCTCCTTCTCATCGTCCTCCTCGTCGTCCTCCTCGTCCTCCTTCCCGTTCTTTTCATTCTTGCCCTCGTCGTCCGCGCCGTTCTCACTACATCTCACTATCATTCTCCTCGGCCTTCGTGATCCTTCTGCGCCTTCTCCTCGTTTTCCTAATCCACGTCCTCCTCACCCTCCCGTCCGCCTTGCACTCAATTCCACTCCCTTCCGTCCCTTCCATGCTCGTCGTTGTCCTCCCTCTCGTCTCCCTCCTCGTCCCATAATTATTCTCTGTGCTCTTAATGCTCCCACTCTCGCTCTTCTCTGCCTCCCCCCTCGTCCCTCGCGTTGTCTTCGTCCTCCCCGCTCTATCGGGGCTCGCCTCGTCCTCACCCCTCTCTTCGGCCGCGTCCCTCCCGCCCTGCTCGACCTCGTCGTCCTCGTCGTCCTCCTCCTCGTCCTCCTCCTCACCGTCCTTCTCCTCCTCACGTTCCTCCTCCGCCTCGTCTGTCAAGCCACGTCGGCATTGGCCGCATTGTGCAGCACCAGAGCTGTCCCAATGCCGCCACGAGGTGCTTGAGGGACGTCCGTGCACCTGACAGTTTCATCGCACTTTCAGGTTTTTCGGATGACAAAAGCTGGGACCATGATTCGCCCCAGGGGGAACAGTGCATCACGTCGTGGAGCCACATTGCGAAGGCGAGGCAAGGGTTGTAATGCGTGCGAGTACAGTGATCGACTGGATGCTGTGAAGCCAGTCTGCCCGCGCTGCACCAGGCCCATGCGTTTACATCGAGGCCGCTCACGTTTTCCCAGTGTCACATTCGAGGAGAATGGAGTAGAGATCCACGACGGAGAACCACAGCCCCTTGCAAGAGATGCAGGCACCAGCGGCAACAGCGGCACCGACTTGGCCACCCACTTGCGCCAAGCCTTCGCTGCCGCCGTCGACCCCGACATGAAGGCCATCCTCAAGGCGCAGATCGCCCGGCTCAGCATCACCGGCCCCGGGGTCAACATCACCAGCGTCGTCGATGCCATGCGCCAAGCTGACAGCGCGTGGAGGGCCGCCGTCAACCATCACAATCTGGTCGTCAGCAACGTGGCCATGCTCCGGAAATCCGTCCAGATCACCGAGGCCAAGGAGGCCGCCGCCGCCCTCGAGGCCGCCAAGACCGAAAGCGCCAAGCGCAGGGCGGCCCAGTCTCTTGCCACGGCTGAGGGCGGGGCGGGCACCGCGCAGCCTAACGACGCCCGCGCGTCTGAGGACGCGCCGCCGATCCAGGCCATTTGGGACCCCAACCTTTCCCAGCAAATCGACGAGCCCAATTTTGACCAGGAGGGGCCGACCGAACTGGACGCAGTCAAGGCTGGTTTCGAGGAGCTCAAGCAGCAGTTCGCCATCAAGGGGCCGCAGGGGCAGCTGAACTTCGACAGGGCCCTTAGTGTGCGAGCCGCCCAGGAGACCAGGTACCAGAATATGCGGAAAGGCCAGGGCGACCAGACCGCCCCGCCGCCACAGGCAGCCGACATGCGTGGTGACGCCAACACCTCCACCGCAGGGTCCGCCAGCTCCGCCAGCGGTGGCGGCCCGCCCGCGGACCCAGCAGCTGTGTCCGCTGAGACCCTGCGTTGGCAGGAGGCGCTGCAGGCGGAGGCCAAGCAGCTGTCCGAGGCCAAGTTCGCAGAGCAGGAGGCCATGGCCAGCGGCCCAGGCTCCCAATCTGGCAAGGAGCCCACCAGGAGAGGTGACAAGGCAACCCAGCGCAGCAGTTCACATTGACTGGGCGCCGACGAGCACACCGTTGCGGGCGACAGCGACGAGGCGACCCCAAGTGATCGCAGCACGGCGGATGCCACTACATGTCCACTCTCTACTCCTACAGAGCCAGGCTTCGTCTACAGCAGCACCACCTGCTTCGGTGACAAGAGCTGGGGGTACCACAGCACCTAGAGCGACGAACATCTCGGGGTCGTGGAGACACACGTCGGTGCTGTTGACATCGGGACCTGGCGATCATGGTTGCGCACGCGCAAGAAGAAGCTCGTCGCCAACTCCGCCAGACCCTCGTCATGGCCAGCCTGGAGGGTAGACCGATTCCGTCGAATCAGAGTTCGCAGGTCACGCCAACGAAGGAAGATAATGGCTTCTACCCAATCGCCATATGCAGGCGCACGTACTGCATGAGGGGATTCAGTCACGCGCCCTGCAAGCTCGGCCCTTCGCTGCTGTAGACGGCTTCCTCCCTGTAGCCCTCCACTTCAAGGGTCCTCCCTTGTTGTATTTCTTTCAGATGTGCTTTCCAGCGCAAGCCTTGCAGGCCCGAGCCCAATTCGATCTCGGCGCGCAGGCAGCCTCCTGAGATCCCTCCAGCTCCCTTGGGCCGTCGTCACTGGAGACTGCCCCCCCCCCCCCCCGCGTCGTGCCCCCCAGGCTTCGGGGTTTTTGGTTTCGGACCGCGCCTGTGCGTCGGGGGGATCGCGCCCGTCCACGAGTTCCCGTGGGGGTCTGGCATTGCGCTGCGAATTCAGTTTGTCGGGCCCGGGGGGCAGCTCCCAACCCGCGTTCTGGAACTCCCTTGGCGGCAACCAAGCGTCGCCCCTCCCGCCGAGGCCACGATCCCAGGTTCCAAACCTCCAAACCTAGTTTGGCCAAGGCCTAAAGAGCCGCGAGAGCCATCGAACGGGGCCGTGCGGAGAGGGCTTCTTCGCGATACCCTAGTTGCCGATTTGTGGGCCGAAGATCGAGGCGACCAGTTCGATGCTCAGTCCACAAGCGCTGGCGAGCCTTCCGACGTAGATTCCGACGCAGACCCTGCTCCGCACGAGCAGGGCGAAGAAGGCACGTGGGCATATGATATAGTCCTCCATCACAGGGCGAGCGCCAGCGTAGAAGGTGCGGCAGCAGAAGCCAGCGGTGCCCCTAAAAAGCCTTCAGACTCATGCCTCCATCGGTATCTCCCCAGCCAGCTCGTCAGTCTGTCAGGGGAAGGAGCCTGGCAATGGAAACGATTTACACGAGTTGAATCAGCCGAGCCTTGACCATGCCTCCATCAGCCCCCCCCCCCCCCAACCAGGTCGTCAGCCTGTCAGGGAAGACGCCTGGCAAAGCAGACGATTTACACGAGTTGAGTTTTGGAGTCAGCGGGGTTCCCACTGGGCGTTCTGCCTTCTCGCTCCACCCGGCCTGCCGCTGCTGCCGCCTCCTCCGTAGTTTTGTAAGCTCGAGCCTTGCGCTGCCCTGCAACTCGGCCAGCTCCGCGGTTCCTGGGTCGCTGCAGTGAAGACCGCAGCATGCGCGCACCATTGGCAGTCACGCAGTGGAGCCACCAGGGCCGACGGTCCAGAATGCAGCATTGTCACCGCCAGGTACTCTGTGTCCTTCAATAGTTTTGGGGGCCCGGACTACAGGTACCCCCCGGACTACAGGCGCCCCCCCCCCCCGACTACAGCCCCCCCCCCCCCCCCCCCCCCCCGGGATTACAGGCGCCCCCCCCGGACTACAGTGCCTGCCCCCCCCCCCCCCCCCCCCCCCCCCCTCCCCGGACTGCAAGCCCCCCCCCCCAGACTATAGGTGCCGCCCCCCGGACTACAGGTCCCCCCCTAGCCCCCGGACTACAAGCCCCCCCGCATTCGCCACGCAGTCTCTGGAAGCCAAAGCGGCCCGCCAAGATGCGCCCGCGCATTTTCACTTGGGCGCGCTAAGAAATTCGCCATCGTTGGGCCAGCGGTCGGGGCCGAGCACTCTCGACGGGCGAGCGGGCGCGGAAACGAGAAGATAACGAGGAACGGATCGATACATCTATCAAGAAAAAGAAAACTAAGCAGGGGAACAGACGAACGAAGAGAGAGAGAGAGAGAGAGAGAGAGAGAGAGAGAGAGAGAGAGAGAGAGAGAGAGAGAGAGAGAGAGAGAGAGAGAGGAGAGAGAGAGAGAGAGAAAGAGAGAGAGAGAGAGAGAGAGAGAGAGAGAGAGAGAGGAGAGAGAGAGAGACACAGAAGACAGCAGAGAGAGAGAGAGAGAGAGAGAAAAGAGAGAGATACGAGAGAGAGAGGAGAGAGAGAGAGAGAGAGAGGAGAGAGAGAGAGAGAGAGAGAGAGAGAGAGAGAGAGAGAGAGAGAGAGAGAGAGAGAGAGAAAGAGAGGCGCACAACAGACACATAATGATTGTCGGAACGACAGGAAGAGAGGCCCCGCGAGCGCAAGTACTAAACGCCCGCGTGCGTGGAAACACGCCTGCTTTGAGGCATGACCATAGTGTGCCCCCCCCCCCCCCCCTCCCCTCCACGGACTGCAAGCGCTCCCATCGCGCCCTCCCACTACAGGTGCGCCCCCCCCCCCCCCCCCCCCCACCATAACCCGCCCCGGGACCCCACCCGGTCCAGTCCCCCCCGGACTACAGGTCCCCCCCCCCCCCCAGACTACAAGTAACCCCCCCCGGACTATAGGTGCCCCTCCGGACTACAGGTACCCCCAGAACTATATTGAGGGACACAGAGTGGCCCCAGCGCTCTCGCCGTGCACCGCTGCGCGACCTGGGCAGCTCCTGGCGGGCCAGACTACATGTCATCTTGTAGAGCATCTACCGCCACTAGGCCGGAGGCAACGGACATCTGCAGTTGACTCAGCTCCTCGAGGGCATCCAGAAGCTAGCAGCGGCGCCGCCACCCGAGGCCAGCCAAGCCGCCGCGGCATAGGGCGACACTACTTGGGCACAGGGGACCCACGTCCTCGCCAACACCGGCCAGGCCAATGACGCCGACGTCGTCGCGCACGCGGGCAGGGCCGCCGCGCTGCGCCGACGCGCTCAGCCACGTGCAGTACGGAGGTCAGCCAGGCACTCCCGCGACTGGGCAGTCACGGAGGGCGCGACTAGCACGCTAGCACGCTGCGCCGTTCCCTGCAGCCACAGCCCATCCCGGCCGAGTTACTACTCGACCAAGGGCGGACAGTGGTGCACCCCATGGACTTAATTGACAGGAAGGTGGGGCGATGGAAGACACTATGGACGGCGGCGCCACTTGGCGCCGTTGGTCTAGCGGGCCTCTTCCAGGATATTTCCCACCACGTCCAGGAGGGCAGCCTCCTCTTACAGCCTTCGACATCAGACGAGGCCTCCGGCGGCAGCGTGCGAGCACGGCCATGGGGGCCGACAGACTACGACCCACCGACCTTATGCGCCGCCTCGAGGCAGCACTGGAGGAGCTTGGCATGATCCTTGCCGCGGCTGAGAAGACGCTGATGCGGCTCCATCAGCTCCTACTCACCGTTGGAGTCATGAGGGCCAAGAAGGACAACGGCGGCCGCATCTTGGACCCTCTGCCAGAGATTGCCAGATTGTGGTCCACTTGCCGAGAGGACCACGTACCATGATTGCATCAGGAGTGGTTTGCCCATTAGGACGCAGTCGCCAAAGGCAGCTCCGCCTTCCGCGAAGCGCGGGGCAGGGCCCTTAGCGGAAATTGCAGCGTGCATCCAGATAACGCAAAGACATGGCCCCTTGGTCAATCGCAGTTTGACGACTTCATCATGTGGACCAAGCTGGGACATCAGGCGTTGAAACTAAACTTTCTAGCTGAAGTACTGGGTTTGGAAATATTGCAATGCACGGCGCCTAGAGCGCTCGCGCGGAGCGGCGCCTGTGCCGAAGCCCGCCCCCCCACCGATCGGCGGTGCAAGGGTTCCCGCTCGGGCACCAGGCTCGTTGTGATAATGGCCTTTCGGGCGCTGCAGCGCGTCGCCCGCGACCGCGGGCGCCTCGCTCACGGGGTCTGGGTCGACGATCTGCCCCAGCGCATGAACGGCAGTAGTCGCGCTCTTCGCAGAGAAATGGCCAGGCGCCTCACAGACACGCGCAATGCCATGACGGACAACGGCCCCACCATCGCCAACAAGAGCGCCATCCTCTGCAGCTCGATGGGCGACGCCAGACTCATCGACAGCGCCGTGAAGGAACGAGGTATCCCAATCCAGGCGAGATGTCAGGCTAGCCGCCTGGGCACGGGCGCCTGGCGTGCCAGGGGGGCCACCGCGCAGCGCAGGCTGAAGCGCGCCATCATATATCGTAGGATCTTTCGGCTCGCCCGAGCCACTCGCAGGCGTCATATCACCGGCGGGCTCGCCCAGCAAGGGGGGGTTGCAGCGGGGGCCTACGCGCGCGAAATCCATAGAGCATGTGGCGCTCGGCCCACCCTCATGCGACGGCGTCTCGGTGATGCTGCGGGGCGCAAGCTGCAGCGGCGATGTTTCGCTGCGCTACCGGACCTCAAGGCCGCCCGGCGTGGCCCTGCCGGGCGCTTCCCACGCGAGGCCCAGGGCGCCGCCATGCTGCGCCTCACGGAGAACGGCTTGGACCCCGTGCAGGCAAACGAGTGTGGGGGGGGCCCTCCAGCATTGGCCGACGGCGCCAACACCTGGGATCTCCTAGCTGACCGCCTCACTGGTTTCCCAGCTGCTGATGCTCGCGCGCAGCCCCTCACCGACCTCGACGACATCATCCAGACCAGGTGATGGGAGCGGGCCGGCCGACGCCACGGAGGTGAAGGCATGCGAGGGGGCACCGGCAATTACTCCGAAAGGCGCCTTCTCCGCTACCTCAGCAGGATGAAAGACGGCGTCCGACTCGCTGCGCTCATGCCCACCATCACCGTCGGAGCCATGTGGCCCAAAACCAGGGCCCATGCCGGCGTCAAAAACCACGGAACCGACGGCATATTCGACGGAGGCGGGTAGGCACCTGAATCAAATTGTCATCGGACTTGGGAATTCAGCGCACGCAACGCGCGCCCTTTATCTGATGCGACCGACCCTGTCATAATTACCAGAACACGCAGCCCAACAACACAAACATTAATGTTATTGGACCCGTGGGCTTATCCCCAAGATCTGGACAGCACTACCGCCGCCACCCAGCAATGAATGTTGGGGTACGTGTGGCGTTGAAGAATTTTCGCGATGATGTTTTTTTTGTGGCAGTGAACCCACTCATGCATTTGGTGGCGCGAGTGGAGGAGGAGACTCTGCCTCGACCCCACTCAGAAGGATAGGAATCGGCCTCGCCATTTTCCCGGACCTGGACCGCACTGGGATGGAAATCGAAGGCGCCCTGTGGGGAGCCATTCCAGGTCGGAGACCAACTGTTATACGAGGAGAACTGTACACTCTCACTCATTGTGCTGAATCTACGATTGGAACGATGGTGCGTTTTTGCTGGCAGAGAAAAATGTTTGTCAGTTTTCAAAACGGACATGTTGAATCCCCCCAAGGGGAGGACGCAGACTTGTGGGCAAGGTCCCGAGCAACCATGCACAGCTGGGATGGCAAAATCACAGTCGTAAGTATTCGTTCGCACATGACCGCGAAATACATTATCGATGGCAAGATCCCAGGCATCCTCGCCTACGGGAATACCGTCGCCGACGCTCTCGCAGATGGCGCCGCAGATGCCGCCATATTGCCACAACACATCCGACAGCAGTATGCACGGTCGAGCAAAAAGCTTACTCTGCACGAGTGAGATTGTTGAGAGCAGCGCTCGAGATTCTGGAGCTCGAACGAGAGCAGGTCAAGGTTGGAGTGAGCACCCGTAAGCGTTGTAGGACTCTGGCTCCCGCCAGACCGCCTGCCCCTGCTATGTCCGCCCTATTGTCTTCCGAACACTGCGTAGACTCCGACGGACATAGGTGCACTAGGTGCAACCACTCGGCCAGCAAGAGCTCGAGAACCCAATGACTTCAGAGTGAATGCTACGACCTTGTAAATGTAGATGGCACTCGAATGAGGCCCTTCCCCTCGGGAAGCAAGTTCATGTGTCGGGGGACTTTATGCATGTTTCCCATCGGATAAGGTTCCACGTTGGGCTTGAGCAGTGGTTTTGTTTGCACTGCGGATGTATCGGGGGCCCCTGTGCTGATCCCGCCCCCACGGGTAGGGAGTACTTGCGTAGAATACATGCCAAGATCTGGCCCAAAGTCCTCGGTCGAGCTGAGCGTGCCCAGGGGAGCAAAGCAACCCACAGTGAGGTTGCGGCGGCCTGATTTGATCCACATCGCTACGCACTTAAACAGTCGTTCCCAATAGTCTCCTCCTCGTCTTCCTCTTCCTCATCGTCCTTCTGGTCCTCATTTCCCTCCTCTCCTCCTCCCCCTTCCGCCCCCGTCCATTCCCGCTCGTCCTCCCCTCGGTCCTTCCCCCCCCCCCGTCCCCCCCCGCCCCCCCCTCCCGTCCCGCCGCTCCTCCACTCTTCCCCCGCCCGTAGTCCTCCTTGTACGAGGTATGCGTGCGGCAGGTTCGCGCCGTGTTGAAGCGGCGGCGGCGCCAACTCGGGCGTTCCAAGGTTGAGTACCGCCTGTCTACCGGAATCGGCCACTATCGGACGATACGCGTTGCCGAAAAAAAGCTTTGAGATTGCGGGATTGAACGAACCAAGCGGTGTCAGAAACTGGCGCCCACGCCATCGCGACGCGAACCTGCCACGCGGGGGCGGCGCGGGGGCCTCAGGCCCACGCCACCTTGCAGGGGCGTCAGGATAACCGCGCACGGCGCTTCGCGGCCTGGGCCAGGCGTGCCCTTCGCCAGGGTGCCTGGGCACGAGAGCCCGAAGATGACTGCGCGCTGGGCCTTCGCGGCGCGCGACGCGCGCCTGCGCGCGCCACCGCGCCCACCTGGGCAGCGGGCGCAGACCGCCACCTCTACGCAGGGATGGTGTCGATCCAATCTGCACCGACTTCGGCCAGCCCGATCCGATTCGGTTCCGACCGACCGATGCGGCCCTGGCGCGGCCGATCTGATTCGATTCCGACTCCGTGCCGGTGTCGCGTCATCCGACGCACGTTCCGATCCGATCCGATTTCCCGCCTCGCTGCTGACTGATCCTGCCCCTGCGTCAGGGCACCGGCCCCGCCGCGCAGTGCTACACCTCGGGCAATTGCTTCACCGACGGCGTGTGGGACGTCAGGGGAGGAAAAGATACCCTTATCGCTACCTACTCGTCGTTCGTCGCTACCCCTGGATTCGATCCAGGTCGCAAGGGACCTTGGGAGGGCAGGGGGCAGCGGTATCGGCTCCTCCCCCCAGGACGACACTATGTGCCCCGATCCGGAGTCCTGCGCCGAGAACTGCGCGCTGGAGGGCGTCACGCTGGACGACTACGACAGCACCTACGGTGTCGCGGCGATCCCGGGCGGCGTCGAGCTGGGCTTCGTGCGCGGACCGAACGTGGGGTCCCGCCTGTACGTCCTGGAGAAGCCGGACAAGTATAAGCTGTTCAAGCTCCTGAACAGGGAGTTCACTTTTGACGTGGACGTCTCCACCCTTCCTTGCGGACTGAACGGCGCGTTGTACTTCAGCGAAATGGACGAGGATGGGGGGATGAAGCACGCGGGCAACAAGGCCGGCGCCAAGTACGGGACAGGCTACTGCGACGCCCAGTGCCCCCACGACGTGAAGTTCATGGAGGGCAAGAGCAACACCCTCGAGTGGAACACGAGCGCAGCTCTCGGCAAGTACGGGCTGTGCTGTGCGGAGGTTGACATATGGGAGGCGAACTCTCCTGGGCTGGGGCGGGCAGGCATGGAGGAGGAGCAAGAGAGCAAGTGCAGGCGCCAGCCATGCAGCAAGCCCTCCCCCATTGCTCCCTCCGCCGTCCTTCTCCACTCCGCCTGCGCCCCTTCCCCGCCCCTCTCCCTGCTTCTCGTCTTCCGCTCTTCTGCGGCTCGCTCCTCACCCGTCGCACCGTTCGCCTCGGTCGGCTCGCAACACGGCGATGCTCGACGCTCGCTCAGGAGGAAGAGGAGGACGCGGAGGAAGGCGCATCCTCCTCTCCCCGTGGGGAGGCGAACTCCATGGCCACGGCCTTCACGATGCACCCGTGCACCATCGACGGCACGTATTTGTGCAAGGGGAAGGAGTGCGGCGACAACGCCAAGAACGAACGCTACGATGGCGTCTGCGACAAGGATGGCTGCGACTTCAACTCGTACCGCAATGGCCTCCAGGACTTCTTCGGGCCGGGGGACGACTTCACGGTGGACACCACGCAGCCGATGACGGTGGTGACCCAGTTCGTGACAGACGACGGCACCGACGACGGCGACCTCGTGGAGATAAGGCGCCTCTACGTGCAGGGCGGCAAGGTCATCAAGAACTCGAACGCTGGCATCCTCGGTTCCGACGGCGGGGACTCCATCACCGACGCGTACTGCTCCGCCCAGAAGGACAAGTTCGGCGACCCCGACGACTTCCACAAGAAGGGCGCACTGAAGCAGACGGGGGAGGCGCTGCGCCGCGGGATGACGCTCGTCCTCTCCCTGTGGGACGACTACCAGTGCCAGATGCTCTGGCTCGACTCCGACGCGGGCAAGGGGGGCCACTCCACGCCGGGCGTCGCGCGCGGCCCGTGCGACAAGACCACGGGCGTGCCGGCGGACGTGCGCGCCAAGTACCCGGACGCCTCGGTGGCCTATTTCAACATCATGTACGGGGAGATCGGATCCACGTACACCGCGGGCGAGGGCGCGAAGCCAGACCAGTCCGTGGCGACGGGGTTCCCCAAGGCCGTGGTCGGAGGTGTCGCCGCGGTGAGCGACGGCGCCGTGGCCCAGCCGCAGCAGCAGGCGCTCCAGCAGCCTTCGCAGCCTTCGCAGCCGCAGCCTTCGCAGCCGCAGCAGCCTCTGCCACAGCAGGCCGTCCAGGCTGCGGCGGCCCCGGCGGCGGCGGGCGCGGGCGCCTCCGCTGGGGGCTGCGCGGACGTGTTCCAGCAGTGCGGCGGCGACGGCTGGGCTGGCGCGTCGTGCTGCCAGGCCGGCTGCACCTGCGCGCAGCAGGGGGGCCCCTCGTACAGCCAGTGCCTGCCGCCGGTCGGCGCTTACCTGTGCTCTGGCCCGGCGCAGCCGGCGGGCCTCGTGCAGAGGAGCTCGCTGCGCGAGGCGCACGCGCAGCGCGCTCGTGACGGTCCGGCGCTGTGGGTGGCTGCCGTGGCGCCCGCGGTGCTGCTGGCGGCCGCGGCAGCGGTGTGGGTGCGAGCGCGCAGGGCTGGCAGGGCCTGGTCGTGGGGGTCCAGTCGCGCCGCATCGCCTAAGCATCGACGATGCGGCTCGATGTGGAAGCCGATTATCGCCACGCCGACGTCCCCGATGCATCCCCGACGCATCGCCGATGTGGCCGACGCATCGGAGATGCATCGGCGATGCGGCGAATCCTTGGACCCCATCTACGCAGACCTCATCTGGGAGGCCTTTAGATTAGCACACCGATCACCGATGCGGTTTCTGTGCTTCTTCGCCTCTTCGGAGCCTCCAGCGGGGCCCTCGTCGCCACGGCCAGATTCGCCTCGGGATCCTGGTGAGAACGCACCCTGGGAAAGGGGGAGTGGCGCCGCAGTGTATTTTCGTTGTTGTTCCCCCAGGTCTTCCGCGCAGCTGCGCACTGAGGAGGTGAACTTGATGGCATCCGCCGAGTAAGCTCGCCAATCTCACTCATGTCGGGGAGAACAGTGGGGGGTGATGGAAAGGGGGCTATACGAAATCTGCTGCACGCAACCGGTTTCGACCCCGCCGCTTGGCACATTCTTCGATGCATGGTCATTGCTGGCGCTTCGAGGCGCCCAGCAAGCAAAGCCAGCTATTTATATGCAGCCGATCTTCCGTAAGCGCTCGCTTTCCCGATCCCTCTCTCGTCCCCTCCGCCCGATGGTGGACCTCCTCCTCCGTGCTCCGTCCTCGCCACTGCCGCTTCCTTCTCGTCGACTCTGCAGCGCAAATTGGGGCACACGTTTTAGCCCTAGGAACAACAGTTCTGCAAACATGCATTTTCAGAGTTGCGCGTTGATTGCTTGGATCGGCGCTGGACCCCCCCTCCCTTGCACGCGGAGTGCGCACGGGGCGGCGCCGGAGGCGCCATCAGGGGGCTCCAGCGCAGATCCGAGAAATCCGCGCGGACCGCTGGAAGGTCATGTTTCATTCATGCTTTGTTCCTCGACTTTTGCCCCGTCGGACAGAATTCGCCACTGGCGGGCAGACATGTTCAGTTGGACACCTCCGGCCTCTGCGCGTGCCGTGCGGCCCTGGCGTTGCCAGGCCGGTGTCGGCCTCGGTGCGGGGCCCGAATTCGCTCTGTCGTGCCAGGGATGTTCTAGCACGGTGAGTCGGCCTCGCGCAGAGGGGGGTGAGGGGGGAGGGGGGAAGGCTTCTTATCAGCACCCTGCTTCTTAGAAGGCGAGGGCCTCGTCTGTAGGTGTGAGGCCGGCGCCTTCTGAGAAGCAGCTCCCTTCTGAGAAGCCTTTCCCCCTCCCCCTACCCACCTCTGCGCGCCGCCAAGTGAGGGCACTGGATGAGGATCGGGGAGACGTAAGACTTGAGCTCGCCAGAACTCATTTTTGCTGGCGCTTTTTGACTGAGCCTTCCTGAGTTTTGACGGTTTGTTTTTCCCAACCATCCTGTGGTGTTGGGTCCTCGTTTTGAAGAGACGTCGCCCCGCGTTCCTTCCTTCCTTCCCGCTGCCCCCTCCCTCCTCCCATCTTCATCATCATCGTCATCATCCCCATCATCGTCATCGTCATCATCATCTGTCGTCATCATCATTATCACCACCCATGTCGGCACACCCCTCACACGTTTCGTGACCCCATAGGGAGCTCCACCGAAGGTCCCAGTGCGTGTGCCCGCATGCGTCCCGCACACTCATTTCGGCACACCCCTCACACGCTTCGTGGCCCCATAGGGAGCTCCACCGAAGGCCCAGTGGGTGTGCCCGCATGCGTCCCGCACACCCATTTCGGCACACCCTCACACGTTTCGTGGCCCCATAGCTCCATCCCAGCCCGCATGCGTCCCGCACACCCATTCGGCACACCCCTCACACGTTTCGTGGCCCCATAGGGAGCTCCACCGAAGGTCCCAGTGGGTGTGCCCGCATGCGTCCCGCACACCCATTTCGGCACACCCCTCACACGTTTCGTGGCCCCATAGGGGGCTCCACCGAAGGTCCCAGTGGGTGTGCCCGCATGCGTCCCGCACACCCATTTCGGCACACCCCTCACACGTTTCGTGGCCCCATAGGGAGCTCCACCGAAGGTCCCAGTGGGTGTGCCCGCATGCGTCCCGCACACCCATTTTGGCACACCCTTCACACTATTCGTGGCCCCATAGGGAACTCCACCGAAGGTCCCAGTGGGTGTGCCCGCATGCGTCCCGCACACCCATTTCGGCACACCCCTCACACGTTTCGTGGCCCCATAGGGAGCTCCACCGAAGGTCTCAGTGGGTGTGCCCGCATGCGTCCCGCACACCCATTTCGGCCCACCCCTCACACGTTTCGTGGCCCCATAGGGAGCTCCACCGAAGGTCCCAGTGGGTGTGCCCGCATGCGTCCCGCACACCCATTTCGGCACACCCCTCACACGTTTCGTGGCCCCATAGGGAGCTCCACCGAAGGTCCCAGTGGGTGTGCCCGCATGCGTCCCGCACACCCATTTCGGCACACCCCTCACACGTTTCGTGGCCCCATAGGGGGCTCCACCGAAGGTCCCAGTGGGTGTGCCCGCATGCGTCCCGCACACACATGTCGTCCCACCCCTCACACGTTTCGTGGCCCCATAGGGAGCTCCACCGAAGGTCTCAGTGGGTGTGCCCGCATGCGTCCCGCACACCCATTCCGGCACATCCCTCACACGTTTCGTGGCCCCATAGGGAGCTCCACCGAAGGTCCCCGTGGCGCAGTCCACATGCGTCTCCTTTGCCCAGTACAGCGTTACGTGGCCCCATATGGAGCCCCACCGCAGGTCCCAGCCAGCCAGCTAGCTCTCTTTGCTCCGCGCAGCGGGCGACCCGCGCGCGTCGCTGGGACTCCTCCGGGGCGACCTGCGCGCGTCGCGGGGGCTCCGTGCTGCGTTCCGCCCAGCGCCTCGCTCGCCCGTCGTCGCTCTGCCCAGCGGCAAGAGCCTTGCCCGCTATCAGCCAGCCAGCTAGCTCTCTTCGCTCCGCGCAGTGGACGACCCGCGCGCGTCGCTGGGACCCCTCCGGGGTGACCTGCGCGCGTCGCGGGGGCTCCGCGCTGCGCTGCTCCCGCAGCCTTGGACTTTTGAGTGCGCGGGCAAAGAGGGAGTAAAGGAAGGGGAGGAAGCGGGCGCGATCCTCGCGGGGGGGCGCGCCGACATTGGCGTCGCGGCGCGCGGGCGATGCCGTCGGGGAGTCCCGGGGAAGCTCCTTGCGGCGGCCACGCCCAGCGTCACGAGTATTCAGAGGCAGTCGTTGTCAAACTATTGGCATTCATACACATTTGCACCACGCTTTGTCATATTCGCATTCATGCACGTAGACTCGCTCGCACGCAGATCATTCACAGTCAGACGCACGCGCGCAGATTCACCCGCGCTCAGTCTCCCTACGTACTCAGATCAATCGTTTTCGTTCACTTTGTGTACCACGCCACTCATGTCGGCACGCCCCTAGCACGGTTCGTTGCCTCATAGGGATCGCCACCGAAAAAATGAATCACTATTGCGGTACTCGCACCTGCATATGGTTGGGTCCCTCGTCAGGCTAATTTGTTTTTGATGTTTGCAGCGGGAGTTCGCGTCAGATTTCAGATTGGGTCTCGTCATTATCCTGACGGCCCCGTCGAGCCAACCCGAGTCCCCGAATCCGAGTCCTTCGTCTCCCCGAAATGACGAGGAATCCCGTGTCTGGAAGCTGACGGAACGCCAATCGTGGGGTGGCCATGGACATCACCGCCGCCCTCATCAGATGCCCCCGCGCCGTTTGTTCCGACGCGCCGCCTTACTTTTTGGGGAGGGCGCCTCGGCCACCAGGGCAAACGCCGCTTCGGACGCGGTGGGTTCGCCATTGGTTTGCCGCGGTGTCGGTCGCTGTGCGCAGGGCTTGCCGTGGGATTGCTGTGGTGTCGGCGTCGTCCATTTTGGGCGCGTCGAGAACAAATGGCGCGGCGACAGATAAGGATTCCTCGAGGGTCTGGAGACTCCTGGGCACATTCCTCAAGGTCGTTGGCGCGCGGAAGGAGGCGGGGCGGTCTTCCATGAGGCAGGTGGACAAGAAATCATGACAACGCTATGTTGCAAGAGTTCCAGGATGTCCAGGATTTCCTGGGTTCCCTGTTGCTCGGCACTGTGCTCCAGAAGCTGGGGCCGCCAGATCGTTGGGACTTCCTGGAACGTACCCCGAGCCAGCCGTATCCTGACACCCTCGTCCTACCGAGGTGGCCCGATGCTCCTCATGAGCCCTCCCGCCCTCAAGGATGCAATCTCTTGGAAGCTTCCGAGCCCTTCTGAGACGCCCGCCTGCCTTCTCAGCGGACCGCCCTGCCTCTCAGAGGGCAGCTATACAGATCCACCTCGTTCCCCCCCCCCCTTCCATAGGAGAGGGGGGAGGGGCAGGAGGCAAGCTAGGTGCGCTTGCGTCATATCTGACGTCCTATCCCTCCCTCCCATCCCTTACCATGGGGTAACTATCTTCTCTATTCGCACAGTCGGATGTCGAGCAGGGCAATGATCGCGAGAGGGTACGCGATGCATGGTAGAGCACGGCATGGCATAGGGTAGAAGAGCACGGCAGAGCGTAGCATGCCATAGCATGGCGTGGCAATTTGCAGTGAGGCATTGCATCACAAAGCATTGCAACGCAAAGCATGGCATCGGACAGCTGTGCAGAACACAATACCGCACAGCATGTTATGGCATGGCGCCGGGTTCCTTGGAGGGTAAGTGGATCGTCTTTGAGAGGTCTGGGCCGGTCTGGAGTCGTGGCTCCCAGCCTAGCTCCTTGGGCCGCCCGAAAAGCTCACACAAGGCGGGGCTGATGGAGAGCACCCGCTGGCTCTGCTTTCGACATTGCCTTCTCAAAGCAGAAACGAGGCTCCCGCTTGATACTTCCTGATAACAACGGCGCCCAAAATCAACGAATCGACATCGAATGTGTAATCACTTCCTATGGTTTTCCCAACCATCCTGTGGTGTTGGGTCCTCGTTTTGAAGAGACAGCGCCCCGCGTTCCCATCTTCCCGCTGCCCCCCTCCCAGTGGGTGTGCCCGCATGCGTCCCGCACACCCATTTCGGCACACCCCTCACAGGTTTTGTGGCCCCATAGGGAGCTCCTCCGAAGGCCCCAGTGGGTGTGCCCTCATGCGTCCCGCACACACATTTCGGCACACCCCTCACACGTTTCGTGTCCCCATAGGGAGCTCCACCGAAGGCCCCAGTGGGTGTGCCCGCATGCGTCCCGCACACCCATTTCGGCACACCCTTCACGCGCTTCGTGGCCCCATAGGGAGCTCCACCGAAGGTCCCAGTTGGTGTGCCCGCATGCGTCCCGCACACCCACTTCGGCACACCCCTCACACGTTTCGTGGCCCCATAGGGAGCCCCACCGAAGGTCCCAGTGGGTGTGCACGCATGCGTCCCGCACGCCCATTTCGGCACACCCCCCCCACGCGTTCCGTGGCCCCATACAGGGCTCCACCGAAGGTCCCAGCGGGTGTGCCCGCATGCGTCCCGCACACCCATTTAGGCACACCCCTCACACGCTTCGTGGCCCCATGGGGAGCTCCACCGAAGGCCCCAGTGCATGCGTCCCGCACACCCATTTCGGCACACCCCTCACACGTTTCGTGGCCCCATAGGGAGCTCCACCGAAGGTCCCAGTGGGTGTGCCCGCATGCGTCCCGCACACCCATTTCGGCACACCCCTCACACGTTTCGTGGCCCCATGGGAGCTCCACCGAAGGTCCCAGTGGGTGTGCCCGCATGCGTCCCGCACACCCATTTCGGCACACCCCTCACACGTTTCGTGGCCCCATAGGGAGCTCCACCGAAGGTCCCAGTGGGTGTGCCCGCATGCGTCCCGCACACCCATTTAGGCGGCACTCCACCGAAGGTCCAGTCCCGCATGCGTCCCGCACACCCATTTCGGCACACCCCTCACACGCTTCGTGGCCCCATAGGGAGCTCCACCGAAGGTCCCAGTGGGTGTGCCCTCATGCGGCCCGCACACCCATTTCGGCACACCCCTCACACGCTTCGTGTCCTCATAGGGAGCTCCACCGAAGGTCCCAGTGGGTGTGCCCGCATGCGTCCCGCACACCCATTTCGTCACACCCCTCACACGTTTCGTGGCCCCATAAGGAACTCCACCGAAGGTCCCAGCGGGTGTGCCCGCATGCGTCCCGCACACCCATTTCGGCACACCCTTCACGCGCTTCGTGGCCCCATAGGGAGCTCCACCGAAGGTCCCCGTGGCGCAGTCCGCACGCGTCTCCCCTACCCAGTACACCTCCGTCGGAGGTCGTCGGAGTTCCGCGCCTCCCTCGCCCGTCGTCGCTCTGCCGAGCGGCAAGAGCCTTGCCCGCTATCAGCCAGCCAGCTAGCTCTCTTTGCTGCGCGCAGCGGACGACCCGCGCGCGTCGCTGGGACCCCTCCGGGGCGACCTGCGCGCGTCGCTGGGACTCCGCGCTGCGCTGCGCCCGCAGCTTTGGACTTTCGAGTGCGCGGGCAAAGAGGGAGTAAAAGAAGGGGAGGAAGCGGGCGCGATCCTCGCGGTGGCGTCGCGGCGCTCGGGCGATGCCGTCGGGGAGTCCCGGGGAAGCTCCTTGCGGCGGCCACGCCCAGCGTCACGAGTACTCAGAGGCAGTCATTCACAAACTATTAGCATTCATTTACAATTGCACCATGCATTGGTATACTCGCATTCATGCACGTAGGCTCGCTCGCACGCAGATTCATTCACAGTCAGACGCACTCGCGCTCAGATTCACCCGCGCTCAGTCTCCCTACGTATTCAGATCAATCGTTTTCGTTCGCGTTGTGTACCAAACCATTCATTTCGGCACACCACGCACGGTTCGTTGCCCCATAGGGATCACCACCGAAAAAAGGGAATCACAATTGCGGTACTCACACCTGCATATGGTTGGGTCTTTCGTCTGGCTAATTTTTTTCGAGGGGGGGGGGGGGGGGGGGGGGGGGGGGGGGGGGGGGGGGGGGGGGGCATTTTTTAGATTTTGGAGCCCGTGTGGAAGGACCGACAACTGCAGCGGGAGCGCTTTTTGGAACAACCAGAGGCGCAGAAATTGGGCCAGCATTTCAGCGGGGGCAACATTTCTAACAAAACTAAAGCGAAAACCCGATTCCGGGGAATCCTGTGTGTAAAAAACAATGCGCGGAGTGGGGCCGGATATCTTCCAGACGCCCTCAGGGGAGACAGGAGGGTACTACTCGTGACACTGGAGAAAAACCTCAGTCAAACTCCTTTTTGGGCTATCAGGCCATAGGGCTATGGGGCGATGGGGTTATGGGGCTATAGGGCTGTGGAACTATAGGGCTATAGGGCCCTAGAACTATAGGTCTATAGGGCTATAGGGTTATTTGGGCTATAGGACCATAGTGCTATAGGGCTGTAGGGCTCTAGGGCTCTGGGGCTCTGGGGCTGTGGGGCTATAGGGCTATAGGGCTACAGGGTCATAGGGCTATGAGCCTGACGGGCTACGGGCTATAGGTATATGGGACCATAGGGCTACAGGGCTATAGGGATACAGGGGTATGGGGCTCTAGGGCTATAGGCATATATCTATATATAGAGAGAGAGCTATAGGGCTATAGGACTATACGGCTATAGGGCAATAGGGCTATAAGGCTATATTGCTATAGGGCTACAGGGCTATGGGGATATAGGGCTAAAGGGCTATGGGGCTATGAGGCTATCGAGCTATGGGGCTATCGGGCCATGGGGCTATAGGCATATATAGAGTTGTAGGGCTATAGGCCTATAGAGCTATAGAGTTTTACGCCGGTAGGGCTATAGGGCTATAAGGCTAGAAGGCTATATGACTATAGAGCTAGAGGGCTCTTGGGCTATTGGGCTATGGGGCCATAGGGCTATGGGGCTATAGGACTACAGGACTATGGGACTATAGGGCTATATGGCCATAGGGCCTTGAGTCTACAGGGCCATGGGGCTATAGGTCTATAGGACCATAGGGATATTGGGATACAGGGCTATGGGGCTCTAGGGCTATAGGGCTGTAGGCATATAGAGCTACAGCGCTACAGGACTATAGGGCTATAGGGCTATCAGGCTGTACTGCTGTAGGGCTACAGAGCTATAGGGGTATAGGGCTAAAGGGCTATTGGGCTATTGCGATATTTGGCTATTGGGGCTATTCGGCTATAGGGCTATGGGGCCATAGGGCTATCGGGCTATAGGGCCATAGGGTTTAGGCATATAGAGCTATAGGGCTCTTGGACGATAGGGCTGTACGGCTATCAGGCTATAAGGCTATGGATATATAGGGCTGTAGAACTATAGGGATATTTAACTAGATGGCTATTGGGCTATTGGGCTATGGGTCCATAAGGCTATGAGGCTATAGGGCTATAGGTCTATGGGTCTATGAGGCTATGGGGCTATAGCGCTATAGGGCCATAGGGCTATGAGTCTTCAGGGCTATAGGGCTATCGGACCATAGGGCTATAGGGCTATAGGACTATGAGCCTGTAGGCCTATAGGGCTATAGGCATATAGTGCTATAGGGCTGTAGGCCTATAGGGCTAAATGGCTATGCAGATATAGGCCTCTAGGACGATAGGACCATCAGGCTATAAGGCTATAAGGCTGTAGGGTTATCGAGCAGTAGGGCTATTGGGCTATGGGGCTATGGGGCTATGGGGCTATGGGGCTATAGGGCTATAGGGCTATAGGGCCATAGGGCTATAGGGCTATGAGGCACCTTGGCACCCGGGCACCCGGGCGGGCCGCAGAAGTCGGTGACAAACCTCACCTAACCTTATGAATCCGCTAGGACACCTAAAGAGGCAAGCTCTGATTTGGGAATAGTTTGTAATTGTACAGAGGTGGTATGAGTCGGCTCCTATCCTCGCCCCACCTTGTCTTCGAGCTGGACATCATGCCCGATAATTCGGCCAGTCGTGCCCCCGATGCGCCCCTGCCTGGCGCGCAGTGCAATGTTTGGGGCGGAGCTTCAGACTCTGGTACAGCTTTGCATGCTTTCGCCACTGCAAGAATCTGTCCTCGTCCCAGTCGCCTCTGTAATTTCCACTAGCGTCGTGGTCGTCCAAGAGGGGGGTGAGGACTGAGGGAGGAGGGGGGTCGAGATCACGGCCGGGACACTGACATCTCCGAGATTTCGTGGCCTTCGTTTCCTATTTCAACACGTCCCTTGGCCCCACTTGTCCGCGCACATGCCTGGGGCCATGATGCGCTATACGCCATATTCGTTCGCTTTTCGGCACGCCCGACAATAGCGTCAATGCCATCAGCGGGCTCGCTTGTTACGGCTGTCGTTCGCGTCGCAGTGGGGACTGCCATCCATCTTACTCCCGCCCTCGTCGTCTTCGACTTCGCCAGTCTTACGCCGTTTGGTCTCCTCTCGGCTTGGCGTCGCCTGCGTGTGACTGTTGATGCTTTTCACCCCCTTCTGCTCCCACTCCTCCTCCTGGTTTGCCTTCGTCTGCGCTGGCTCGAGCCCGCGGCTCAAGCTCAGGCGGATGTTGACACCCAAGAGCCCTCCAGTTGTGTTGCTCGGGCGGAGCCCCAGATGTTGACCCTCAAGAGCCCTCAGGCAGATGAACGCGTGGCCAGAATGATCGCAGGGAGTTGCTGTCCCGACCTCAGCGCTGCGCGCGCGACGACGGTGCAGACCTGTCGTCCATGGTGGCCTCCAGGCGCCCTCCAGCTCGGGCGCCCCAGCGCGAGGCGGCCCCACACGGCACTTCCATGTGTCGACCCGCCCCTGCTGCCCGCGGGGGCCAGCGGCGGGCTGCGGGGCCGCCTCTTGCGCCGCCGCTGCCGCAGCGCCGTCGGCGCTGCGGTGTACGTCGCGCCGCGTCGGAGGCATCCCAGCGGCGGCGCATCCCAGCGGGGGCTGCGGCGCGACTGTTGCTCCGCCGCGGGCGGCAGGCACCGTTCGAGCCTCCGGCCCCGGCCCGGGCCTTGCTCTGCGCCCTTCTGCCAGCACGAGGCACTGGACAGATTGGCGCCTCAGAGCGAGTCGAGTCGAGTCGAGTCGAGGGGGGGGCTGCTTGGCACCGAAGTGGAGCCGCTCGGGTCAGCCAGGAGCTCTCGAGCGGGCTGGTCCTCCCCCCTTGGCACGGCCTGCCGCGCGGAGGGCAGCGTGGCTCAGATTCCCCCCCGAACTGTGCTCCTACGAGGGGGCTCCTGCTCGTGTGTGAACGCTGTCTGGCTCGGTTCTGCGGGCTTTCGGTCGGTGCCCGCCCGTGGGCGCCCCGTGGGCGCCCCGCGTGCTGTCTCGGCGTTCTGGGGCTTCGCTCGGCGACAGCCTGTGGGCGCCTCGTGTCAGCCCCGTGCAATCGCTGGCGTGCTCGAACTGTCCGCCAAGTGCCAGCCCGTGGCCGCTTCGTGGCCGCCAAGTGGGCTGGCTCGTGTTTGAGGATGCTCCAGTAGTTCCCACCACACAGGATGCCACCACAAGAGTACACCACACGGCTTGCACCTCATGTATCGCACGACACCGATTGCGCGCACTGCTCATCTTGTGCCAGCGTTTGCACCACGTGCTCTTGCACCGGGCACGCATCTTGCATCCCACAGGTTGCACCACAGACATTGGCCACACAACTTCTTGACGCTTCGCGCATTCCGACCAGCCCATATGGAAACAGGTCGCCAGGCGAGTTGCCTTGATCAGGTATGTGTAGAAGTATGCAGTGTAAAAAACCGCCTTGGACGTGTTTTCTCGGGGGTCTCTTGGAGCCACTTTGGGTCTCTCTTGTGGTCCTCGCGGAACCACTTGGGGCACTCTTGGGGCCCTCGTGGGGTTCTTTTGGGGGGTCTAGGGTCCCTCTTTGGGCTCTTTGGAGGGTCTGGGAGGCCTTTTTAGGGCAAGTTTGGGCTCACTGCTCAATAAGAGGGGGGGGGGGCGTACATTCAGCTCCCCTCCCCCCCTCGAAGGCTCAAAGCTTGCGTCGTGGGGCCGTCTTGGGGCGCTTTGGGGGCGATCTAGGGCGCTCTTGGGGCCGTCTTGGAGCCCTCTTGGGTCCCTCTTGCGGCTCGCTTGGGTCATCTTGGGGCCATTTTGATGCCTCTGGGGCCCATCGGAAGCGAAACGGCGAGAAGGTAAACATCATCAAGTGGCCTTCGATTTTGGACCATTGGTGCCTCTTGGGAAGGTCCTTGGAGGTTCGGAGGACACTTGGAACCGTTTCTTGGCCGCCTTGCGGCCTCTTGGATGTGCGTCGGATACTATATTTGGCCGTCTGGAGCTGTCTCGGGCCATCTTGGAGGCCATCTTAGGGTCTCTGAGGCCCGCCTGGAGCCATTTAGGGCGATCTCGGGGGCTCTAACGCCTCGCACCTTCCCCCCCCCTTCCCAGGCCTCGCACCTTCCCTCCACCGAGCAGGGGCAGGAGGGATCTTTGGCAGAGAGAAAACAGCATTCGTTAAAGCACCGACGCCCGGACCCATGTAGATTGCACGACATAGGCTGCGCCACACACACTGCACCACCTAGGGTATGCCACATTGTGGGCCACAAGTAGCACCATGTAGACTGCACCACACATATCGCACATCGGGTTGTGTATCACATCTCGCATCAATTAGATAGCACACGTACGGTGTACGATATGTGTATATGTATAGATATGTATATATGCATGTTTAGATATGGATGTTATACGTTTGTATGTGTACCACGTGCATCCCAGCACACACATTGCACGACACAGGTCCCGCCACATACACTGCACTACGTATATGGCATCTCCTTTTTGTAACGACAGTGAGTGCACAAGAGTCCACATCGAGAGTGCAATAACCCTCTGTTTTGGGTCTTTGCTGTCGAACATTTGAAATGGTGCGGTGCCTTGTCTTCTGGGGTCTGTGCGTGTTCTTTGAGCCAATGTGGTTCCTCGGGATGCAGGTTCATATTGCTAAGGCCTTACGGCCGGTGCCGCCGTCCCTGGAGGCCTCGCCCTTGCCGACACGCCCCGGGAGGGTGGTATTCTGACCAGGGACCACCCCCCGGGACCCCCCCCCGGGGCCTCCCCCCGTTCCGCGGGGAAGGGTTGCTTAATTTCGCTGTGGATGGGCTGGTGTATTTCGCTTTGGCTGGCGTGCTTGAGGACGAAGGCCCAAGGAAAGGGGGGGAGCGGCGACAGATTCAGGGGAAGGAGGGGCGGCGATGCGGCGGCGGCAGCGACGGCGATGGCGACGGACAGCCCCTGTCACACGCCGACAGTGTCGGCGAATTTGTAGGGATTGGTTGTTGCGAGTCGTGCTATGTCCGCAGGTGCCCCGACTTCCAGCAGGGCGGAGTGCGCGCTTGCTTTCTGGTAGTCAGTTTGGCATCTGCTACGGGAGACGTGCGTCTCAATCGAGCTGTTTTCTGCAGTCGGTCATGCTTTCAGGCGCGTGGTGATGAGTTCAGTGTCGCGGTATATTCCGATCAGCCGCAGTGAGCGGTGCACCGAGTGTGTTCTGCCGTCATGCCCGCCGCGCCCTCACGGAGCTGGCGTCGCTTGCCGCGCAGGGTCGCCGTGTACGATCGTGCGCTGGTCCCGAGCCAATGCCCAGGACCAGCTCTCCCCACCCTCTCCGCCCCCTGCGTCAGCACTGCTGCCCACTGCACCCCCTCGCTAAAAGCCGGCGTCGCCGTCCGCGCAGCTGGTGCTGCCCACTGCGTCGGCGCCGCGGGCGTAGTGTGCGACCTTGCGCTGCCTGCGGGTGCCCAGGGCAGTTTCTCCCCCTCGTCAGCTCGGCCAGCGCAAACCTCCCGTGCTGGCGTCCTGGTCTGCATCGCTGCTTCAAGGCCTGGACTCACAAGTCGCCGCCTCGCGAAGGCGCATCGTCAAGCCAGGCCGTGATCGCGTGGAAACGCCCGCGGGGTGGAGGGGAGGGGGGCAGGACTACAGTTGTAGGATGCTGTTCCCAGGGGGGAAGCTTCATGCCAGACCACTTGCGAGTTTGACTGGCTTCAGCTGATGACTTCCTTCGTGGAGCCGGCTCTTCCTGTTGGGTGCATCGGCGCTGTCCGCCGTAATTGGTTGGCATTCGCCTGGGTGGGTCCGCTTGTTGGGTTATTCCCTTGTGGCCTTGGGTTGCTGAGCTGGGGCTCAGCTGTCCTCGTGCATGCACAGCCTGTGCTGCTCGTTCTTGAGGATGGCGTCATCGACGTCTGGGCCCCGCCTGGAAGACTTGCAAGGATGGCGCCCCAGAGCGGCCCAGTGGCAGATTCTGAGCGGATGCCGGCCTGAAGCAGGGAGCCCGCATTTCGGATCGGGACATTGTTTCCGAGACGGCGGCTCGAGCCCGGCCGAAGGCCCGCCTGCCAGCGGCAGGCCAGCGCGCCGACGGGCGGCGCGGGCCTGGCCATGGAACCGCGCTCCGCTGCCCCGCTCTGTTGCGGTCGCTGGCGGCGCCCGGCCCGCTAGCAGACGGCGCAGCTCTCCGGCCGGCGCCGCCGAGCCGCTGCCGAGGCGGCCCAGCACGAGCGAGGAACCGACCCTCACACCTGGGTGCCATCCGGACCAGTCTGCCAATCTTCAGTATTGTGTGACATATCCCCATCCCCATCGGGCCATGGCATCTGCGCCCCACCACCACACCGCCCCAGTTGGGTAATTGGAGGCCCGTGAGAACACGAAGGGAAGAGCCAATATCCCCATCTGGGGGGCTATCGATTAATTGATGCCCAGTCATCCAGACCAGTCTGCCAATCTCGGGGCCAGAAATCCGCCCGGGCTACAGGTCCGAGATGTCGGATGGGGGTCGGAAGCCCCCGCTCGAACGGGAGCCCTCCCAGGCTCCAACAATTCGCACACATTCTGGTAGCGCCTTCACCTTCCTGGTCCTTCCCCCTCCAGGTCTGAGCGCGTATTCTTCTTTCCGAGGCAGGGTATGTCCACCGTCTGGGGGATCGATTTCCAGAGACCTCGGCAGGAGGTGGATATGGATATATTCGGACCATGGGTGGGGCCAAATATATCCATACCAACCGCCTGACGACGTCCCGAAATAAAGATTCCTCGGGCGGTGGTTGTGGATACATCCCCTCCTCGCATCACTCTAGACCTCGCAGATGGGTCAGAGTAGATGGGGTCGGAGGAACGCGCCGCATCGCCGATGCATCGGCGATGCGGCTCGATGTGGAGCCCGATTTCCTCCACGCCGACGGCGCCGATGCATCGCCGAGGTCCTCGATGTATCGGCGATGCGGATCGATCCTCCGACCCCACCTGTTCGGACCCCGTCTGGGCGATGGAAGAAAACGGGTTCGAATGCGCAGACAATCGCGCGTCAGGTCGCGACGAACGTGCCCTCTTCTCCACGCGGTTTGCCACGCTGGTGGCCCGCGTCAACCACGGCGTGATGTCGCTATGCCATCTCGCGTTAGACCTGTTTTTTTTCGTCGCCCAACTGGTGTCTAAGCATGTTCGCTCCGAACCGCTGATGCATCCGCGGTGCGGCGCCACCTGGGGCCCCAGTCTCTCCGTCCCGGCGTCGCCGATGCATGGCCGATGCGGCGGCGGTCGTGGTGCGATCCTTTTTGGCCTCTGTCTCCGGGAGCCTCACACGGGCAGCCTCCAGAGGAGCGGCCGGCGCTGGGATCTCGACGTCTCTTTTGCTTCGGCGTTGGGAATTAGCAGCTGTCGTCGCTCATTTGGTAGGCCCCAGATTTCGTCGGGGGCGACGGCGGGGGCGACTAGCCCAGGGGGCCCCCGTCGTCGCCCCCCGACTCTTCCATCAGCCCAGGCATGGGCGCGAGGCCCCTGGCCGACGGTGCCCTGCTGGCGGTGGCCGCCGCCGCGCTGCTGTCCGCGAGGGGGCTGTCGGCCGCCTCCGCCGTTGGCGGAGGGCTGCCGCTGTGGGACTGCGACGAGTCCTGGAGCGGCTTCCGCGAGGCCCGGCGGCGACGACGGCGATGACGGCGGCCCTAGATCTGGGCGTTGCAGTGTTTCCGCCGCGGGCGTTTCGTCCAGCTTCGGGTCCCTGGACCCTCACAGGTCGATCGGGCTCGGAGAACGAGGCAGTATGGGGTCCAGGACTCCGGTCGTGATTTTTCGCGATGTTGCAACTTGCTGGCAGCGTCAGATCTCAGGGGGCGGCGTCCGCGACGGCAGCTGCGGCGGCTGCAGCGACGGCGGCGGCAGCGGCGGCGACGACGGCGACGGCGGTGACGACGGGGCGGCGACGTTGGCGGCGGCGGCGAGGGCGGGCCTGGCAGCCGCGGCGCCGCTCGCGGGGGCCAAGCGCTGCCACCCCTCGCGGGGTGGGGGAAGGAGTGGAGCGGAGGGGCGGGGCGGGGGAGGTGGGAGCGAGGGGCCAGGGCCCCCATCTTCGAGTAGGGGATCGACCACAGCACTGATGCACCCCAAAGTTGATTTCCCGTCGGATCTGCAAGCGATACGTCGAACGCTTCGTGGATCTACGGGGCATTCGACGTTTGTTCATGCAGTTTCAGTGGGTCCAACGGAAAACAACCTCTGAGCGACGCATGAAAGCGGGGTTGTCGTCAAGGACATTAGTGCGTGAGTTGCCCGCCTAAGGTCGCGCAAAAGCGCCATCCATTCCAAAGGTCGCGTGCCACGCTGGTGGCCCGCGTCAACCACGGCGTGATGTCGCTATGTCATCTCGCGTTAGACCTGTTTCTTTCCGTCGCCCAACTGGTGTCTAAGCATGTTCGCTCCGAACCGCTGATGCATCGGCGGTGCGGCGCCACCTGGGGCCCCCGTCTCTCCATCCCGGCGTCGCCGATGCATGGCCGATGCGGCGGCGGTCGTGGTGCGATTTTTTTCGGCCCCTTGTCCTGGAGCTCCACTCGGGCAGCCTCCAGAGGAGCGGCCAGCGCTTGGATCTCGGCGTCTCTTGTTTTTTGTTTGGATTCCCCCGCCCTCCTTCGCTCTCCCAGATTTTGTGTAAACTGTGCGCTTCCGCGACCTGGCCTCTGGCCCGACCGTTGTGCAATCTTTCCCTCCTCCGCCGCTGGCCAAGGTTTTCGGGATTCCCTGCAGGACCCTCGTGGCCACGGCCAGGTGCGCCTCGGGCTCCGCATCGAGCCGCCTCGGCGATGCATCAGCAATGCGGCTCGATCCTCCGACCCGGCGTGGCAGCACCACAACCTCGAGCCTAATGCTCCTGAACGCTGGTCTCATGAACCTCGGGCGAGCTGCCACTGCTCGCCCTTCTCCCACTCTTCTCAAGGGAGGAAAGACCACCCAGACCCCGATAACTGGCGTTTGCTAAACGGCCCTGGGCGTTTATTAAACAGCCCTCCCCTGTGCGATTCTTTCCTTGGGTGCGTTTACTAAACGGCGTCGCTTGCCGGGGCGCTTTTTTTTTGGGGGGGGGTCTGTCCTCTATCTTCGGCTGGCTGCCACTGCGCGGCCTTCTCTCATAGTCTTGCTCGTGCTGCCGCGCTCAGCCTTTCTCTCGCAGAACTGTGCGGGCTGCCCTGCCCGCGATTCTCACACCTGTGGATCTGTTGCCACAGACTCGTGCCCTCACCTCCAGCGAGCTGTAACGGCTCGCTCGTATGGCACGCTCGAGGCCACGACACGTGAGGGGGGTTTGCCGCAATGGGTGCGGTGCCGCCATGCGGACCCTGCCGCTGGGGCATTCGGTGGATCCCCTTCATGGGGCCATTCAACATGTGAGGGGTGTGCCGAAATGGGTGCAGGACCGCCATGCGGACCCTGCCGCTGGGGCCTTCGGTGGATCCCCTTCATGGGGCCATTAAACGTGTGATGGGGTGTGCCGAGATGCGTGCGGGACCGCCATGCGAACACTGCCGCTGGAAACTTCGGTGGAGCTCCCTTGCAGAGCCACGACGCGAGTGAGGGGTGTGCCGAAGTGCGCTCGGGAACGCCATGCGGACCCTGCCGCTGGGGCCTTCGGCGGAGCTCCTGATGGGGCCACGAAGCGAGTGAAGGGTGTGCAGAAATGCGTGCGGGGACTACATGCGGACCCTACCACTGGGGCCTTAGGTGGAGCTCCCTTGCGGACCCTGCCACTGGGGCCTTAGGTGGACCCTCACACGTTCCGTACGGAACGTGTGAGGGCTGTGCCGACATGCACACGCGGAAGGCAAAGGCAGGCATTGGAGGGGGGAGGAAGGGGAGGAGAAGGAAGGAGTGAGTGACGCGTGGCGTTGTCTTTTCAAGCGCGAGTTGTTTTCGATCTTCCCCAAACAGTGAAACGGGTGTAAAGGTAATGGCTGACTTTGCCGGGTTTTCGCCAGGTGCCCGCCCGTGAGCGCCTCCTGGGCGACCCGTGCGTTGGCTGGTGTTTCCAGTTCTTCGCCTCGTTGGCCTCCGCATGCGCACATCGATTCCCCTTTAAAGTATCCTGGCGCAGGATCTAAACATATGCAGTTGCGAGTATCACGGTGCGGGTGAGATGAATGAGGAGGCCAGCAAGAGGTCTGCGGCGTGGACGGGGGAAAGAGCTGGCATGGGCGACCGGGGGGTCTTCCTGGCTTCGCGCGAGCCCTAGGCGGCGCTAACCGTTGCGTCGTTTGTTCCGTTGTGAGTTGCGATCCTGGCCGCCTGGCCCGCGATGGACCGAGCCCCTGGCGCCGCCGTTTTGTGCCCATTTCTTTCTTTCATCGTTCTCCGCTCTTTGTCCCTCCGCCCTGGCGCGGCTCTGGGCAGAGCGCTGCGCGGAGTCCCCGCGACACACGCCGGGCGCATGGAATGAGTCCCGGCGACGCGGGCGGGTCGTTCTTCGGTGGAGTTCCTTGTGAGGCTACGAAACGTGTGAGGGGTGTGCCGAAATTGACTTGCGGTGGGCGGGGAGCCTCATTTGGCCGCACCCGCTGGGCCCTCAGGTAGGGCTCCTTGCGGCGCCACGAAACGTGTGAGGGGTGTACTGACATGGACGTGCGGTGGGAAGGTTGCCGCATGTGGCCGCACCCAATGGGGCATTCGGTAGAGCTCCCTAATTATGGGGCCACGATGCTTGTGAGTGGTGTGCCGAAGTGGACGCGGTGGGCGGGGAGCCGCATGCGGCCGCACCCCTGGGGCTTTGGGTGGAGCCCCCTTGCGGGGCCACGAACCGTAAAGGGTATGCCGAACTGGTGCACGTGCGGACGAGAGAGACAGGGACGGGAGGAGGGAGGAAGGCGACGCGGGGCGCTGCTGATTCAAAACGAGGACCCAATTCCACAGGATGGTTTCTTCTACGCGATTGTTCGTTGCACATATCAAACCAGACCATCCCAGGCGAACAGGTATCGATCCCTCTCATCCCAGAGTCCATTCGCGCGCGCACGTGTCGGAATTCGATCAAGCACATTTGTGCTACAAGCACTTTAATAACATACCATGTTCCCTCTTAGGGGAAGCAGATCTGTGTCTTTACCAACACACCTTACAGAGTTTCTGCACGCACTTGATGAATACAGAGGAGGCCATATGACTTTAGCAACTTCGGCCAGAGCCCGCATTCTCATCTCACCACGCGGTGCACCCGCTCTGATCTAACAAACGCCGCGCAGAGGAATCCGCATCATGTAATACAGTGCGGGCCACTTGCGCGCGCCGCCACGTGCGCGTGCCGGAATCTTTCCAAAACCAGTGGCTTCCGACGCATTTCAAGGTAGCGGTTTTCAAACACATCGAACAGTCTGTTCGGTTGTTTGAATGTGTACGATTGCGCGTTTCCTCATCGCCCTGAGCGCCATCGCGTCACCGCCGATATCGTCATCGCCAATCGCCGCGACTGCCGCCATCGTCGTCACAAGTCGCGTTCACCACCGACACGTGGACATCATCACTGTCATCGTCGTCCCCAGCATCGGCGCTGTCATTGGCCTTGTCGTCGTCAACGCGTCATCATCGCCTTCATCGTCGCCAATATCATCGTCGCCGTCGTTGCGGGCGTCATCGTGAGATAGCGCCCGCCCGAATCACCAACCCACACTGACGTACACGCGCGCCAGCGCGGCCAACGAGGCGCGCTGGGAATTGCCCATCAGTAAGCGCCATCATGGTCACAGCAGTTGAGGCAAGCCAGCGGGTCGCCTTGCGCGCGAGCGTGCCCGCGCCAGCGCGGCCGCAGAGACGCGCTAGCAAGTGCCAATCAGTAGCTACAATCGTGGCCCCATGTGTTTTGCCAAGCATGTTGCGGGTGGGAGGGTGGGATGCTTGCGGGGACAGTGGGGTCGACGGCTTCAAGCTATACAGGGTGGACTGTCTCACACAGCTTGCACCACACAGACAGCGCCCATCTAATGCACGGCATAGATAGCGCCACCGGGATTGCATCACAAAGTTGGCACCACGTAGACTTCGCCACTTGGGTTACACAAGCTAGCATGTGACCCACAGTTCGCACTAGCTGCTCCACATACTTTGCGCAACTTAGGTTGCAGCCCCGTCATAGCGCCCCATAAGAAGAGTTCGGTTCTACCCCCAACCGAGGCCCGGGTCGGCGGCACCCGCGGGGGCATTGTCATGTTGATTCCGCACGACCGTTTATCCTAAACGGAAACGCCCCGCATGGGATTTTCAGAATTCGTGAGAGTCATCAGCATCGACGGCTTACTGTGGTGATGATGCCAGGATGCCAGGAAACCCGGATGCGACCTGTGAGGCCGTTGAGAGCTGCGGGGCCCGTGGGGCTTTTCTGAGACCTGCCGGACTTTTGAGACCTGTGCGATTTGTGAGACCTATGCCTCCTGCTGGGCCTGTGCGACCCGTGGCCCGTGGGGCCTGGTGGGCTTTGAGACCTGTGGGACCTGGGGGACCTAATGTCCTTGTGGGACGCGTGGGACCAGTGGGGGCCCCTGGATCTTGTGGGACCTGTGGGGCCCGTGGGACCTTTGAGACTTGTGGGGCCCGTGGGCCCTGTGCGGCTTGTAGGGTTTGCTGGACCTCGCGGACCTGTGGGACTTGCGAGTCCTGTAGGATGTGTGGGACACGTGGGGTTTGCGGGGCCTGTATGACTTGCGGGGCCAACGAGACCTGTGGGGCCTGTGGCACCCCTGGCACTTGTAGGACCTTTGCGACTGGTGGCACCGTGGGACTTGTGAGACTTGTGAGACCTGTGGGACCTGTGGGACCTGTGGGACCTGTGGTGTCTGTGGGCGCTGGCGTGTGGGACCTATTGGGTCTGTGCGACCGTGGGAGCCGTGGGCCCTGTGAGTCTTGTTCGGCCTGTTGGACCTGTGGGACCTGCGTAGCCTGTGCGCCCTCGGCTCCCGCTCGAGGCTTACAGGCGAGGGGCCCCCGCTTGAGACACCCTCGCGGTTTGCCTCCCTTGGGGTGCTCAGGTGTTATGCCTGCTCCAGTAGGCCGATGGCCTGCACGAGGCAGGGACGCCATATGGAGAGGGCTCCCGCTCGAGACGCCCTCGACATTAACTGACAGACGAGGCCCCCGCTCGAAACTTTTTCGCGATTTGCTCCCTGGTGTGTTCAAGCGGCATATGCCGGCTACAGTAGGCCGATGACCCGTTGGGGTTGCAAAGGCGGGGGCAGGGGCATATGGAGAGGGCTCCCGCTCAAGACTTTCTCGCTGTTTACTGGCGGACGACCCCCCCCTGAGAGAGATCCTCAAGATATGTTTCATGGGATGCTCAAGTGATATGCCCGCTTCTGCAGTAGGCCAGTGATCTTTTCGGGTTGCCAACATGAGGTGGGGACATAGGTTTGAGGGCTTCCGCTCGAGACGTCCTCGCTAGCCACTTGCAGACGAGGCACCATTTCGAAACATCCTCACGAGTTGTCCCCATGCTTTCTACAGTAGGTCGATGGCACGCTGAGATTAAAGACGCCAGGCGGGGGGGCGTATATGGAGAGGGCTTCCGCTCGAGACTTCCTCGTTATTCACTGGCAGACGAGGCCCCCGCTCGAGAGATCCTCGCGATTTGCCCTTATTGGGGTGTTCAAAAGTGGCATGACTGCCACAGTAGACCGATGACTTGTCCGGGTTACCAGCATGATGCGGCAATCCCATAGGGAAAGGGCTCCTGCTCGAGGCTTTCTCCCCATTCCTCTCGCAGAGGAGGCCCCCGTTCGAGACACACCCACGATGTGCCCTCTTGGGGTGCTCGAGTTATATATGCTTGCTGCAGTAGGCCGATGACCCGCTGGGATTGACAACGTGATGCGGGGACCACATGTGGAGAGGGCTCCCGCTCGAGACCTCCTCGCTACTCACTGGCAGAAGAGCTCCCTGCTCGAGCTTCCCAGCTTCCCCACGATTTGCGCCCACTGGGGTGCTCAAGGAATAAAGGTGCCCCGTTTGGCCGGTGATCTTTCCGAGGTGGCAACATGAGGTGGGGACCCCATAGGGAGGGGGCTCCCGCTTGGGATTTCCACGCGGTTCAGTTACACATGGGGCCCCCGTTCGAGATATCTTCGCGATCTGTTACTTTGTGCTGCTCAAGTTATATGCGTGCAACTATAGGCTGATGGCCTGTTCTTATTATCAGCATGGGGTGGGGACCCCATGGGGAGGTGGTTGCCGCTCTAGACTCCCTCGCGAATCGCTCACAAATGAGGCTCCCACTCGAGACCTTCTCAAGATGAGTGTGTGTGTGTGTGTGCGTGTGAGTGAACGAGTGAGTGTGTGACTTGAGTGCGGGCTGTGGGAATGTGTGAGTGCGCGTCTGTTTTCCTGGATGTAGGGATGTATGAGTGAATTTGTGAGTGTGTGTGTGCGATACTGATGATGATGTTGATGGTGATTATGATGATGATGGTGATGATGATGATGATGCTGATGCTGCTGATGTTGCTGCTGATGATGATGATGTTTCGATGCGTGCGTGTGTGCGTGTGTGAGTGTATGTGGTAATTGCGATGATGGATGAGTGTGAAAGGAGAAGAGGTGGACAGGGTGAGGTAGGTGTTCTTTCCTGCCTGGGGGGGGGTCCAGAGATAACAAGAACCCCAGCTAGGATGTGGGGAATCGAATACTTCTGGCCAGGCCGGTACCGAGCCCCCTCGTCATTCCCTGCCGTCTATATGATGTAGTGCGCATGCGTTGATCTAAGGAGCGCGTTTAGTAACAGCCCCGGTCAAATCACACAAAGCGGGCCACAAGCGCGCACCATCGCGCGCATGCCAAACTCATGCAAGCATGAAAAACACCTCGCCCCCGTCATCTCTGTCACATGCGGGCCACATGCGCGCGTCTCCGCGTGCGCGCTTCGAGTCAGCTTCGTCATCATCATCGGCATCAGCCGCCACGACTATTAACATCATCATCATCATCGTCATCATCATCACCGTCATCATCGTCATCACCATCGCCATCGCCATCGTCATCATCATCATCAGCATCATCAGCAGCATCATCATCAGTTTCGTCATCATCTCCACCACCATCATCGTTATCGTCATCATGTCCATCGTTATCAGCGTCACCATCATCGTTATCAGCATCGGCATCACCATCATCATTATCATGATCATCACCATCAGCATTATTCTATTCACCACCACCACCATCATTATCAGCACCAGCAGCAGCATCGACATGATCATGAACTTGTTCATCATCATCGTATTCATCGCAACCATCACCATCGTCATCACCATCATCATCAGCATCATTATCATCATCATCAGCAGCATCATCATCAGCATCGTCATCGTCATCATCACCGTCGTTGTCTTCGTTCCCACCCTTGTCATGAGCATCATTATCGTCGTCTTCTTCATTATTGTAGTCGTCGTCAGCGGCGCCACCAGCATCACTATCTGCATGAGCAGGGTCCTCGCGTCACTACGCAAGTTCAGATTTGCCCAAAAGTTGCAATAACGTATTCTTTGGGGTCCACGCTGGCAAACCTCTAATTTCTCGCTTCTCCTGCTTCCGATGGGACCCTGCAGCTTCAACGCGGGCCCCAAGAAGGCCCCAAAGTCCTCCGGGAGTGCCTCCGAGAGATCCCCACGAGGTCCCCAAGAGTTTCACCCAACTCCTTCTATCCGAGGTCAGGCTCAACAAGAAGTGCATGCCCCACAACGGCCCCAGGACTGCCCAGCTCCAAGATTACCCAATTGGGACTCGGGGGAATCGCTTGGCCGTCTTGGGCTGGTCTTCGGGCATCTTGCACCCGTTCGGGGGCGGCCTCTGGCTGTCTTGAAGCTGCATGATGCCAAAATTGGCCCCAGCAGTCCGTTCTGAAGGGAGCGGGGGCGGTTTTCGGAGGGACGGTCCGCATGGCGAGGGGCGGTCAGCCCTTGCGAAAATCTGCTGGCACCCTGCCAGACAACCGGCGATAGGTCTACCAGTTTGCTGCCGCGCAGACGCAGTGGCGGGCGTGCTGGAACGAGAGTGTGCCTGCAGTGTGGCCGCGCTGCCGCGGGGCTCGGAAGGGCGAGAGGGCGCCTCGTCCCAAGAGGCTGCGCAGCTGTCGGGAAGCGCGTGCGCGGCTCGGCTGCGAGAGCAGAAAGAGTTCGCCTCTCCACGCGCGGCGGCCCGTGGATGGTCAGCCACACCGCCAAGACGAGCGCGAGAAGCAAGCGCGCAGTGGCAGCGCGCTCTGTGGCGGCGCGGCGCGGCGTGAGAGGTTATAGGCTGGAGCCCGGCGTTCTCGGTTGCAGCGCCGGTGCCGACGTTTGCAAGACGGGGGACCTCCGGCACTTGGCACTGGCGCTGTTCAGCGAGATGTGGTGGGATTAGATCGAGGCACGACGATGACGTCATCCCTGCACGATCTCCTATGCATGGTGCGCGTTGCACCATCCGTTTGCTCCATCCTCTGCCCACGCCCTCCGACGCCGCCTCCTGCTGCCCCTCTTACTTCCTCGTGCTACATCCATGTCTTCTCCGTGTGCTCTGTTTTGTTCTGAGCCCCCTCGACCTCTCTGCAGCCAGAGCCCCGCCGTGGTCCTCCCCCCTCCGTGGTCTTCCCGTCTGTTGAACCCCGAGAGGCCATCGCGGAGTGGGCGTGGCGCGGCCACCCGGAGGGCATGCCCGTGGACCGCTGGACCGAGGGCACGCCAAGCCACACTGCCGAGCTGCTCGTCGAAAGTACGTTTGTGTTTCCGATCCCCAGATAGGGGGCCACATGCGAACCCTACCCCTGCCCCCCACGATTTCTGATGGGAAGGGTGGGGTTCACTTCGTTCGGAAGCTACCGAGCGAAGTGAACCCCACCCTCCCCCTCGGAAATCGTGGAGGGTAGGGGTAGGGTTCGCATGTGGCCCCCTATCAGATCCAGACCTATTGGACGCCTGGGTGTTTCAAACATCGACAGGGGCCCTCTTTTGGTCTCCTGTTTTGGGGGCGCGCAGACGCCAATCTCTCTAAAACTGCCTTCCTACTTCATGATTCTACTCAGTTCATCCGAACGGCCTGTGGTTGAGATTCCCCTCCCCCTTCAGATGCTGGCGTAATGAAGCCGGTCACGGCGGCTGTTTCTGCCCCGTCTTCACGCACCGAGGCATTCGTGAATCGGTCCGTCTCGAAACATGGCGCACATCGGGTACGGGGTTCGTTCTGATTGTGATTTGTCCACGACGCCGTGGTTATGTTTCACCAAGTCGGACGTTGGCGCCTTCTCTCCCTCCCGCTCCTTCGGTCGCAGCTCTGGGGAGGCTGAAGTAGTCATCACCCCGTACTTGTTCGGCCTAGTCTGGGTGAGTCTGGCCTCCAGCGGGTTCGCGCCGCGTTGACGGGGCAGCGAGCCAAGAATCGACCGATATCGACCTATCGAGCGATTCCTCTCGCTTTGCGGGGTGCACGTCCGGGGCACGTGCAGCCCAGTCGCTGTGCGGCCCCTTGGGGGCCTCTTGGGCCTGACTCTTGGGGGCCTCTTGGAGGCCTTTTGGGAGCTTCCTGGGCCTCTTGGGTTTTTGCTGGGGGGCCTCCTGGGGCCTCTCTGGGTCATCCTGGGCCGTCTTGGGGCTCTCTTGTATTCGGCCTGCGGACAGACTCCTCGGCCGAAGATTAGCAACAATGTGGTTTGTCAGAAGAAAGACTGGACTTGCCCGGCGCGCCGCCCGAGCACGATGTTGAAGTGCAGCAAGTGCGAGGCCGAGATTCCCCGAAAAGCAGTGCCATCGTCCAACCACGGCAACGCAGGCTTGGCGTGCCCTGCCTGCTGGAAGTCATAGTCCGTGCCAGAGTGGCCTGTCGTTTGCGGCCGCTGGGAAAAAAGACAACTGGTGCAGTGCGTCGGCGTGGGATGGTTTGACCTGCTCGTCTGCCGCCGCGTGGGTTGCGCACGCCGTCTCGGCCGTTTCGGCGTCGTCCACATTTTTTGTTGCGCGCATCGTGGAAGTCATCTGGCGCCTCTGGGTCCTCTTGGGGGCCCCTTTGGGCTGTTCGGAGTAGTTCGGAGCATTTACAATCCAGTCGTTTGGAGGCCTCCAGGGCTCCTCCTGGGGGACTCCCGGGGTCCTTTTGGGGGGCCTCCCTGGGGTCTCTTGGGAGCGTTTTGGGCCGTCCTGGGGCGATTTAGGTTTCCAGGGGGCCTTTTGGGAAGCTTCTACGGGGCCTCTGGGGGGCCTCTCGGGGGCTTCTCGGAGCCCCGTGTGGGCGTCTTGGGCCGTCTTGGTGCGCTCTTGCGCTGCCTGGTCGCTTCGGAGGCCGTTTTAGGGGCCTGTTGTAGCCGCATTAGGGTTCTATTGGGGTCTTCTTGGGCCCTCTTGGGGGCCTCTTGGGGCGTCTTGGGTGCCTTTTCGGGCTGTCCTGGGGCCCTCTTGGGCCGTCTTGGGGCCCTCTTGAGGGCTTCTTGGGCGGTCTTGGGGCCATTTTGGAGGCTGCTTCGGCCGTCCTGGGCCAATGGGCGAGAATATTTAGCACCCCGCAATTGCGGAGAAGAGTGAGGGGGCGGGCGCGGGCGACGCGGGCGTCGAGCCGTCGGACCTCGTGGCCCTCACCTTCCCTGTCGATGGCGCCCTCCTCCTCCTCCTCCTCCTCCTCCTCCTCCTCCTCCTCCTCCTCCTGCTCCTCCTCGTCCGCGTCCTCGTCCTCATCGTCGTCGTCGTCGTCGTCCGCAGCCTCCGTTTTTGGCTTGTTCAGAGAACGTAGTTTGGGTCGCGGGTGGGTCGCGGGCTCTCCACCTCCACCTGGAAGGAATTCAACACAGCCCGCCGCAGGCGCCGAAAATTTTGATTTGTACACTGAGCGCGATTTGGGTCGCAGGTTCTCCACCTGGAACGAATGCAAAAGAAACCCGCCGCAGACGCCGAAGTTTTGGCTTGTTCAGTGAACGTAGTTTGGGTCGCGGGTGGGTCGCGGGCTCACCACCTCCACCTGGAAGGAATTCCAAAACAGCCCGCCGCAGGCGCCGAAAAATTTTGATTTGTACGCTGAACGCAGTTTGGGTCGCGGATGTGTCGCAGGTTCTCCACCTGGAACGAATGCAAACGAAGCCCGCCGCAGGCGCCGAAACATTTTGGGTGGGTCGCGCTGGTGGGTCGCGGTGGGTCGCGGGTGGGTCGCGGGTGGGTCGCGGGTGGGTCGCCGGTGGGTCGCGGGTAGTGGGTCGCGGGTGGGTCGCGGGTGGGTCGCGGGTGGGTCGCGGGCGCGGTCGCGGTTGGGTCGCGGGTGGGTCGCGGGTGGGTCGCGGGGTGGGTCGCGGGTGGGTCATGGGTCGACGACGACAACAACAAACAACAAACAACAACCAACAAAAGCAACAACAACACCACCAACAACAACAACGAGAATCCGCCTCGCGGAATTCCACTTCAGCCACGCACCCACGGACAGTGAAACTGTTCGGTTCAGCCCCCTCACTCTGATTCAAATCCTGCAGAACATGGGAAATCTATGATTTTCTGGAGGCGCTCTTGAGGGTTCTCTTGGGGCCCTTTTGGGGCGTCTTGTGAGCTTTTTGGGCCGTCTTGGGGCCACCTTGGGCCTTCTTGGGGCCGTCTTGGGCCGTCGTGGGGCCATCTGAAGCCGCCCCGAGGCTTTGTTTGACCCCCAAAAGGGCCAACAGGCCCACATCATTGATTCTCCATCGGTTTCTGAGCCACGGGAGGGCGGTCTCCACCCTGGGTCGACGGATGCGGCGCAGCGCTGGGGGGGGGGGAAGGGGCAGACATAATATTGCAAAACAGCAGCACCGATAGCAATTGTGGAATTGTTGGGTACATGGGATACGTTGCATCAAAGCGTTCGCCAGTCCATTGCATTGCAGCATCCGCGGACCTGCCTCCGGCAACACATCACCTCTGGACGTGTATTCCTCTCGCTTCGCGGGGGGCACGTGCAGCCCAGTCGCTGTGCGGCCCCTTGGGGGCCTCTTGGGCCTGACTCTTGGGGGCCTCTTGGAGGCCTTTTGGGAGCTTCCTGGGCCTCTTGGGTTTTTGCTGGGGGGCCTCCTGGGGCCTCTCTGGGTCATCCTGGGCCGTCTTGGGGCTCTCTTGTGTTCGGCCTGCGGACAGACTCCTCGGCCGAAGATTAGCAACAATGTGGCTTGTCAGAAGAAAGACTGGACTTGCCCGGCGCGCCGCCCGAGCACGATGTTGAAGTGCAGCAAGTGCGAGGCCGAGATTCCCCGAAAAGCAGTGCCATCGTCCAACCGCGGCAACGCAGGCTTGGTGTGCCCTGCCTGCTGGAAGTCATAGTCCGTGCCAGAGTGGCCTGTCGTTTGCGGCCGCAGGAAAATTCAATTGGCGCAGTGCGTCGGCGTGAGATGGAGCCGTCTTGGGGCCGTGTTTGACCCCCAAGAGGGCCAACGGGACCACATCATTGATTTTCCATAAGTTTTGGAGCCACGGAGGGGCATCTCCACCCTGGGTCGACGGATGCGGCGCAGCGCTGGGAGGGAGGGAGGAGACATAATATGGCAAAACACTTCCATAGATAGTGATTGTGCAATCATTGAATACATTGGATACGTTGCATTACGGCGTTCGCCAGTCCACTGCATTACATCATCCGCGGACCTGCCTCCGGTAACACGTCGCCTCCGGACGTGGATTCTACAGGCTTGCGCGACATCCGCCGACCCTTTAATTGTGATTCGTTTCTAAGGGTCTTTGCGGTACGTCCGTGAAGTATTTTGTGCGCGTTTTCGGATGCGTCTTAGTTCTTCGGTTGGGTTGGCGGCAGGTTTTCTCAGGGTTCTTCGTGCTTTTTTGAGGTTTTGCTGGAGCCGCCGCGGGAAAATTGGCGAAGCTTGCCTCGTGGAACCCTCTTGGGATACCTCGTGGAGGTTTCTTGGGCGCCCCTTGGGGAGTTTTTGAGGCATCTGGGGCCCTGCGGGAGGACCTCTTTGGAACATCTTGGGGGCCTCGTCAGGCTTCCTGGGAGTTTTTTGGGGGCCTCTTGGGGCCTCCTGGGGGACTCTCGAAAGTGAAGGCTGAAATGTGCGTTTGGATCCACCGTCCAGGCTCCCTCTTGGAGGCGTCTTCTCTTGGGCCGTCTGGGAGACCTCTTGGAGCGTCTTGTGGCCCTCTTGCGCCGTGTTGGGGCCTTCTTGGAAGCTTTTCGGGCCGTCTTGGAGCGATCTTGCGGGTCGCCGGGGCCGTCTTGGAGCGTCGGGAAAACGAAAAGGCGAAAAGGCGAACCAATTTTCAAATACCAATGGGAAATAAACGAATTAGGCCTGGTGGAGCCCTCTTCGCATTCCTCGTGGAGGTTTCTTTGACGCCCCTTGAGGCGTCTTTGGGGCATTTGGGGCCGTGTGGGGGGACCTCTTTGGATCATCTCGGGAGCCTCGTCAGGTTTCCTGGGGGCCTCTTGTGGGCCTCTTGAGGCCTCCCGGGGGGACTCGAAAGTGAAGGCTAGAAATGTGCGTTTGGATCCACCGTCCAGGCTCCCTCTTGGAGGCGTTTTGGGAGCCTCTTGGGCCGTTTTGGAGACATCTAGCGGCCCTCTTGGAGGTTTTTTGGGCCGTCTTGGGGCGATCTTGAGGGTCCTGAACTGGTCGTGGCTCGTGGCCCCTGGTCGTGGCTCGTGCGCGCAGGCGCTCTGCAGTGCGCGACCCCATAGGTCACATTCCACTCCTCGGGGGTAGTTTTTCGTCCCGGATCCATTTCTGATGGTCTTGGGGCCCGATAGTGGAACCTAGAGGTCGAGACCAAGGAAAAACATTACTTAACAGCTCATACCGTCGGAGATTTGGGGTTGGCGCGACTCTCATTCACTCTCTCGTTGTGGTCTCGCGCCCTTCCGCCCATGAGGCCTGAGGCCGGGGTTGCCCCCACGCTGAGCGGCTGGGCGTCGGACATCGTACTGCGAGGCTGGCCCATAATGGAGGTCCTGCTGGACGAGTGGACACGGTTGGCCCACGGCGGGGAGGCGACCAGTGCGGTGTTCAGGGGGAGGCAACCGGTACCGATACCGCTGCCCTTCCCTCGTCGGGAAGGAAGATCACATGGTACAAGCATGAACTGTGGGAGGTCCGCGTGGATTTTTTTGGCCGGCGCTGAGCCCCGTCCAGCGCCGATCCAAGAAATCCGTTCCGACCTCCGTTTCTTCCTCTTCCCATAGAGAAGGCACGGAACACCGATATCGCTGCCCGTCGCTCGTCGCCACGGCTGGTTTCGCCTCTAAATCGTGTCCAGGACGCGCCCCAGAAGAGGTCCGTGGAGCAGCGGTATCTTTGTGCTCCCCCAGGTGCGGCCCTGGGTGGACCCGGAGGCGCCCGAGGAGAGCTCGCCGTGCTTGCTCGGGTTCGTCTCGGCGTTGGCCGCGTCCGAGGACCCGGCCGTGGTGCTCCGCGCCGTCCAGATGTTGGGCGCTGGTGGGGCGCTGGACTTGCTGCCGTCCTCGGGCTGGAGGGTGCGGTCCGCCTGGATGCGGCAGAGGGCCAGCCACCTGATCTTGGCGCAGCTGGGCGCCCCCTCCCGCGCCCTCTTCCGCGCGCCCAGCTCTGGGCCTCCCGAGTGGGGTCCGAGCAGGCGTCGAGCAGTGGCGGGGCGCCCTGGCCTGCCTACAGGCCCACCAGAGAATGTTCTGAGAACATTTCTGGCTGAGACGGTCTTGCTTTCACACATCGGGCGCATCTTCCAAGGATCTGGTTTTTGTGATTCGACCACTCTTGGTTCTGGGAACATCTCGTGGTAGGACTACAGGAATGCCGGCGCAGTCGGTCCCTGCTCAACAGGTGGGGTCGGAGGATCGCGCGGCATCGCCGATGCATCGCTGATGCGGCTCGTGGAGCCCGATGCTTCTCCACGCGGACGTCGCCGCTGCATCGCCGGCGTCGCCGATGCACCGCCGATGCTGCGCGTTGCTCCGACCCCATCTGCCATCTGCTCGGACCCCATTTGGGAGGCTTCTGCAAGCGCCGCAGACCTCTCCACTCCGTGGCGGAAGCGGCAGGCCGAGGCTGGCGCGGCCCCGCCCGAGGGGCGGGAGTGGCAGGCGGACGGCAGCTGAATTCGTTTGCAGCGTAGCTTGTGGTCAGTATTCATAAGAGGAAAAGGCACCCCATACCTGTACCCTTCGCCCGGGTTCACATTTTTGGGTCTCCTGGGAGGCCCTCATAGCCGCCGCTGGACTCGCCTCGAAATCAGAACGCACCCCGGGAGAGGTCGGGGGAACAGCGGTATCGGTACTCTTTGGTTTCCCCAGTCTGGCCCAAGTGGGCGTTGCAGCTCTTTGATGCCTTTCTTCGTCACTCGAGCGCTGCGATCCCAGATGCTTTTAGTTTGCCCAGCGTCGAAAAAGGCGGGCCGCCTCGAGAAAGCGGGATTCCGGCCGCGCGGGCGTTGGCGCGCGCAGGCTGCCTGCGTGAGGTCGCGTGCAGTGGATCCCCCTCCTGCTGCGCGCGCTGCGCCGCCGCGCTGGGGGCCTGCGCATGCCCCCTGTGGCGTCAGGTCTCCACGTCCCCTCCCGCGCCCGAGCCCCCCTCTCCCCGCGGTCCCTCGCGTCAGACTCGTTCTCTCACTTCCTCCTCGATCCCCTGCCGCCCAGGTGAGGGCCCCACGGGGGTTGAATACTGAGTGCCGAATGCCCTTGGGCTAGGCGCCGAATAGCTTGGCATCGCTCGGGCGTGTGCCGGTGTTCTCGACGAGGGCCATCGAGGAGCATCCTGGATGATCTGGTAACAGGAAGAAAGCACGCACGAAATCGAACAAAGTGAACGGGGAGTGGACGTCCGAGCGATGGCGCGAGAGCGCGGGCATAGTTCCCTGTCCTTGTCGCCAGGAAGGAAGCTGGCCCTGGAGATGCTTGCCGTTCTCGGGCTCTTCGGGGGGCCCTTCCCGGTCGCCGGGACTGTTAACGAGCGGCTCGGGACGAGGAAGGAGGAAGGGAGGAAGGAGGAGGGAGGAGGGAGGAGGGAGGAGGGAGGACGGAGGAGGGAGGAGGAGGTGGACGAGGTGGACGAGGTGGAGGAAGAGGAGGAGGGTGAGGAGGAGGTGGAGGAGGTGGAGGTGCTGGTCCCGGGGAGGACCCCTGGGGCGTCCAGGGCCCGTCTCTCCATCAGCGCCTGCTGTTCCCTCTACGTGCCAGCTCCCCGCCGGCCTGGGCGCAGACCTCCGCGGCGCGAGGTCGCCGTGCCCTCTCTCGCGCGGTGCCCCCCCCTTTGCTCCTGCCTCGGCCACGCGCAGGGGGAGTAGGAGGAGGGGGGAAGGCTTCTTAAAAGCACCCCGCCTTCTTCGAAGGCGCGGGCCTTGTCTGCAGATGCGAGGCTGGCGCCCTCTAGGAAGTGGCCCACTTCCAAGAAGCCTTCCCCCCTCCCCCTACCCCCTTGTGCGCGCGACCTCCGCGGCGTGAGGTGGCCGTGTCCTCTCTCGCACAGTGGCCCCCCTATCTCCTGCCGCTGCTGCAGGTTCCAGTAGGAGATCGACTACAGAATTGATTTGCCCCAGAGTGGTTTTGTCCGTCGAATCTACGTGAAATGCGTCGGCGGCTCCGTAGATCTGTCGGGCATTCGATGTATGTCCCTGGGATCCGACGGACCAACGCAAGTGCGGGGTAAACCAATTGTGCGGTCGATCCCCACTCGACAGGTGGCGGTGTTCGGGCACCACGTCTCCCTCACGCTGGAGCCCATGGCCGCCCTGCAGGCCGCGTGGCCGGACGCCCGCTTCCGCTTCCAGGCGCGCGGGCTCCACTACGCCTGCCGCGTGGCGCCCCAGCTCTGCCGCCCCTCGCCTCTCGTGGACCTGGCGCGCCACTGGCTCACCACCGTGAGCTCCCACTCGCCCGCCGGCGCCGCCCCGCGCGAGGCGCTGGTCGAGGCGCTGCGGGCCGACTTCGGCGCGGGTGACTTCGGGGGCGCGGGCGCGGACCTCGGCATCTGCACGGCCATCGCGGCGCACTGCGTGGCCTTCCGGGAGGCCTTCCCTCGGCGGCGAGCGAGGAGGGAAGTGAGAAGGAGAAGGCCCTCTCAGAAGGCGGCGGGACTTCTCAGAAGCCTCCGGGCCTTCTGAGAAGTTTTTATATATATATATATATATAATATATATATATATATATATAATATAGATATTTATCATATCTTCGGGGAAGATTTCGAGCACTTCTCAGCAGGCAGGGGGACTCCCGAGCCCTCTGGGAAGGCCCGCCCCTTCTCACTTCCCCCCCCGGGCTCGCTGCCGATTCCCGCTGGAGCCGGCTGGGGGTCCGAGGTGGTCCAGCAGTGGTTCCAGCCAGCAGACAGGGGGGGGCGGTGGGTCCGAGGTGTTGGGTTCGGGCAGGATTTGTTTGTATTCTTGGGCCTCTGGTGGCCGTGTTTTCAAGCACCAGGGCCGTGTCAACGACGGATCCCAGGGGGACCGCTGCACCAGATGGACCTTGGAGGGTCCTGGGGACCGACTTCATCACCGGTGCCCTGTGTGACCCGCGGGGTGCGCGCAGCTAATCGCGCTTCGCGCGTCGGGGCCTGGGCCAGAGCGGCTGCCCTTTTCCAAGGGGGCGGCGCGGGGGCGGCAGGGCGCGAAGATCATGGCGCATCAAGCATCGCAGCCCGCGAGGCGCGAAGCTGGGTAGGCTAGGCCCCCTGGCCGCCTCCAAGCTTCTCGTCCCTTCGCACGTTTCACTACTACTCGGTGGAGTTGCTCCAGTCCACGCCCAGGGCGGAACACCACGCGGTGCTTCGCTCGCTGGTCTCCCTGATGGACCAGGGCGACGTCTTCGCCGCGAACGTCGCGGCCAAGTCTGCGAAGTACCGCTACCAGACAGGCAACCACAACTCAGAGCAGGAAATGGCACCGATACCGTTATCATGCCCTCATTTTCTCCGTTTGCGCCTCCTGGGAGGCCGTCGTCGCTACGGCTGGATTCGCCGTGACATGCTGTCCAGACCGCACCCCAGGAGAGGTCCGGGGAGGATCGGCATCGGTTCCTTTTTTGGTTTCCCCAGAAAGGCTCTTGTGCATACACCGCTGTGCCTGGCCAGGGGCCATCTTGGGCCCTTGGATGGTGTGTGCACGCAAACCGTCGATACTCTGTGTCCCTCAACAGTTCTGGGGGTACCTGTAGTCCGGGGAGGTACCTGTAGTGGGAGGGGTACCTGTAATCCGGGGGGGGTACCAGTAGTCCCGGGTGGGGTACCTAAAGTCCAGGGGAAGGTACAGTAGTCCAGGGGGGTACCTGCAGTCTGGGGTGGAACGCGTGCTCACGCGTCAACGTGCGCGTGGATGTAGTCCTGTGGGGGTACCTTCAGTCTGGGAGGAGTTCCTGTAGTCCGGGAGGGGGTACCTGTAGTCTGGGGGGGGGTACCTGTAGTCCGGGGGAGGGTTAACTGAAGTCCGGGGGGTGCCTGTAGCCCGGGGACCCAGAACTATTGAGGGACACAGAGTGCGGTGGAATAAGGGCCACGTTGGGTTCAGTAAGGACTAGGGTTTTCGGGCCGCTCCTGGGCCCTCGCCATCGACTGGGGGCCCTATTCGTGGCCGACGGCTCGCCGTGGTCCTAGAACCCCCCTGCTCCATCTTCTAGACGTTTCGCGTAAGCCCACCAGTTCTTCTTCATTCTCGTGTGCAATGTAGGCTCCTGCTTGTTATGGACGGCGCGCGGCCCTTCCGTTTGCGCTCGCAAACAAAAAGGAAGTTTACCAGCCCATCCATGCAGAAACGATGCCCAGACGAGATGCATTGATCAGGGATGTGAACGGGCACGCAGCGGAACAAAAAGGGCTGGGTAAGATGTCGTACCCCAAGAGGCGGATGATGGAGGAGAAATTGGAGGAGGAGGAAGAGGAGGAGGAGGAGGAGGGAGGAGGGAGGGGGGAGGACGGAGGAGAGAGGAGGGAGGAGGGAGGAGGGAGGAAGGAGGAGGGAGGAGGGAGGAGGGAGGAGGGAGGAGGGAGGAGGAGGAGGGGGAGGAGGAGGAGGAGGAGGAGGAGGAGGAGCAGGACGAGGGGACGAGCAGGACTTCTTGGGATACGCTCGAGGAGGAGGAGGAGGAGGAGGAGGAGGAGGAGGAGGAGGAGGAGGACGAGGAGCAGGAGGAGGAGGAGGTCCGTAGCCATGTTGGCTCAAGTCATTTTGGCTCAAGTTGCCATCTCGTCAAGGCAGCTGGCCAGGACAGCCTTTGTTTGGTGGCTAGGAAGGCACCACTGCCTCGCCCACTGTGCGCTTGTGTGAGCTCCTGTGGGAGCAATTCCGTTTCAGTTCACCGCCCTCTTTCACTTTTCACGAACAACTGTCTTGCCCCCTGTGGGCGCCATTTGCATCTCGTGGGTGCCCATCCAGCGGCGGAGATGTTCGGCAAGGGAAATGGTCAGTCCGCGCTTCCTGGCAAGGGCGCGGCGATGGTGGACACGCTCCAGCGCGCCCCGATCCTGAACTCGCAAGAAGTTCGAGACTTCGAGACTGCTCCCACTTCTCCTTCTCAAGAATGTGCTGGGCCTGCTCATCGTGATGCGGGTCTACGTGACGAGGATGGTGGTCATGGAAGCCGCAGTCCTCGTACCCGAGGTGGTGGGAACGAGATGGTCGACATACCGACGCCCCCGGCAACGCCGCGGGCTAGTGCTCCTATTGTTTCTTCTTCCTCGGCTGGTCCTCGTGATGAATTTCTAATCTTCAGGGTCAGGTCGACGGCAGCCTCAAGCACGTGCTCGACAGCGTCTCGGCGGTTGCAGACGGGGTATCCTCGAACATGGCGAGTATCAGCCAGTCTATGGCCTCTCTCAAGGCAACCCTCTCCAGATCCTACACCGAGTTCCACAAGCACGTTGAGCCCAGGCTCAACATCGCGGAGCACACTCAGAGGGCGCAGGATACTCGACTATCGCAGGTGGAAAAAGAGATGCGAGAGCTGCGAGCCGAGCCGGGCATCATCAAGAAGGATCCTCCGCCGATCAAGCAGTACGAGCCCGCCAACGCGAATTTCGACAGAAACATTTATGCAAGTATCGTGGTGGTCTAAAGAATTGGTTACCGCAGCATCCGTCTCAGACTCAGTTCGGGGGTGGTTGGAAGATTCAAATCTTTCAAATAACGAGTGGGTCTTGCAGGGCGAGCCCACGAGCAGGAAGTGCATTATCAGGTTCAACGGCGCGGAAGCGCTCGCATTCAGGCGGGTTGCACAGGCCCTCGGGAAACTCAAGACCCCGCGCCCTGGAGGAGGCGCTGGCCACATGTACCGCGAGTTCAAGATCAAGTCCACGACGGCCGAGCAGACGAACCTCTTCGTTGGGCCCGACAAGAGCATGTGCACCATCCGCAGGGAGACGGCGTGCAGGTCCATTCGTCGCGCACGTCAGGGAGCTCATCCTGCGCGTCGCTTTTTCACCGACATGTCCAAGGGTGAGATCTCGTCGAACTGGAGGCCGCTCATCCAGATCAAGCCAGTGCCGCAGAGCGACACGCCCGAGATTGCATGGGCTCCCGCCAACTTCGTGGCTGAGTGGCTGTCGCAGTCCGAGCTGGAGCCGATCGTGCAGCAGGCGATCGCGGGGCCGAGTCCAACGGTGTGGAGCCCCTAGCACAGTGAGTGCCCTGTGGCACGGGTCTTCCGCTCCGCTCTCCCCCTCTGCTTCCACGTTCAGGGTTGCGACGTGGAATGCCAGAGCTCTTTTTCATCATGATGCTGCCACCCGTGCGAGGAAGGTCAGATTCCCCCGCCGTACCTTGCAGAGAGGAAGCATCGTGGCTTTTCTGGGGGCCCACGGTCCGAACCTGAGCTGGATGATCTGCTCCGCCACCTCCACCTCCCGTTTGATGCCTCCTTCTCTTTTGCCCCTCCCCGTGCTGGCGATTCCCCTGCCCATCCTAGAGGCGGAGTCGTCACGCTCTTCCCGAAGTTTACAGCCTCGGCCGAGAGGCTTGAGAAATTCGGTCGTGCGCAGCCAGCCATCTCTTCCCCCCCCCCCTCATCCCTGGGCGGGCCCTCCTCACGAGATTCGAGAGTGCGGATAGTCAGTGTTGGGTTCGGCACTATAACATCCACAATTGTGGTCTCGTTCGTGGAGAGCGCCAGAGATTGCTGACGGACATCAGTGAATCCCTGAACCAAGCATTTGAGGTCCCCCTTGACAAGCTCGTCTTTATCTCTGGGGACTTTAACCTTCCCGCGTTCGAGTCGATCCCGCTGAACCCTACCCCTGAGGCTTCCGAGGCGATGGGTCTGGAGCCCCGTCCCCTTCCTCCTGAATGGCGCCCTGCTCTTGCGAGTTCGGTTGAGTTCGAGCTGTCGAGCCCCTGCCATTTCATCGCGCAGACCCAGCGTCTGTCCTTCCTGGATCGGCACTTCTCCTCGCTGCCTGGCTTGATTCTCTCGCAATTCGCGACTGGGGGGTAGGCGGTAGACAAGCCTGAACCCTTAGCGGCGGAACAGATCTCTGACCACGCGGCGGTGGTCGAGTCGTCGTGCTCCGCCTTCGCCCTGAACTCCCTGTGGGGCAGCGGCCAATCCCACGTGAGATGTTTGCCACGGCCTGGTTCGAGAAGTATATGGAATTGACGCTCGACGCCGCGCCGTACCAGCATCTCTCTCCCCCTCTTCGCCTCGAAGACTATGAAATGGTTGCGTTGGAATGTGCTCGGCTAGCCCGCAAAGCGATCATCCTAAAACACCGCACCTCTGCTCTCTCTCGGTGCATGATAGTGCGCAGCATGGCTCGGGCTGTCTATCGCCAGCAGTGGTCTCCTGCTCTCCGGCTTCTCCGTTCCCATCTTCTTTCTCAAGAACACTTCCGATTCAACTACGAAGCAAGAACTATATCCTTGGTGTCTCCTATCCACTTTACCCTGCTCTCGAACACCTTGCGCAGGGAGGTTGCCGCGGCCTCGTGCAACGCGATCGCGGCTAGCGCCCGTCAGATGTCGGATCAGGCTCGGTCGGTCCGACTTTTGCGCCGTCGGCGCCGTGCGCAGAGGCTTGCCCGATTGTGGTCTCCCTTTGGTCGGCGTAACCCCGCTCGCTGGTGCGCGCGCGCCTGATCGAGCGGTCGCCCAGACTTCTTCTAAGGTTCTCGAGGCGCTGGCCACTCATTGTGGCCTTGTGTTCACCGGGCAACCTTTTGACGCTGAGGGTGCTGAGCGGTTCCTGGATGCCTTCCCTCCCCAACCCTGTTGCTCCGATCTTCCTCCCCCGACCGATTCCCAATGTTGTTCCCTGGTCCGAAAATTCCGACATAGCCTCCCAGGCCCTGACAGGATTCCGCATGCGGCCTGGCAACACGCACTTGCAGGAGTGGATCTCCTCTGGGGCTGCATGCAGTGGTTTTTCGCGGGCAACTATACGCTGCTCGAGTTCAATGCCGTCTTAGGCGGGCAACTATACGCTGCTCGTCTTCAATGCTCGACAACAAAAATCAGCACGCCCATGGCTATCCGAGCCCATACCCATGCCCTCCCTCTTGGCCTCCAGAGATCCCAAGGGGGGTTCGTTCCGACACGGAATTTCGGGGAGAATATTCTTGAGCTGGGCGCTGTGAGCCGACTCGCGAGCATGACGCCCATGGCCGAACGGCGGTGCCCGCTTCTGACCAGCTTTGGCTATGGTCAAGCTGCCCCCCTCCATGTCGCAGCGCTGGAAGATCCAGGCGTTGAAGCGGGCCCGTCCTCCGGCCCCCTCCTCGCTGTGGTTTATCACCTTTATTGGAATGTCACGCGCCTGGCTTGCGTGGGTGGGTGGGTGTGGGGGGGGGGGGGGGGGGGGGCTTGGATTGATGCATTGGATCACCGGCGGGATGACTCAGGGGCGCCCAGCTAGCGGCTCGCTCTACGCTG